GGTGTACCCACTAGCATGCGCGATAATACAGCACTGCCACTGATGTAAGCCCTTGGCAGCCAGACGTTAAAGAGGATCCTTCAGATGATTATGGCAGTGTATATATAAAACTAATGGTTATTTTGCACTCTCACTCGTGTGTAAAGACTGTCCCCTGGATTTTGGCCAAGTTAGAAAAGTAGGCCTCAGATATTTTATCTCCAGGCCTGGCTATAAGTGATAAATTGCCTGCACACACACACAGTATACATATGATTTGCAGGACTAGATTCATTGCAAATGTGATGGATATATTCTAATGAAAGGTTTTATAGTCCATAGAATCTTCCTGCTTAGAAATGTTCTCTTTAGTATGGCGATGTCTTGTGTTAATGCCATCATTAAATAATTGGAAGGTCAGATGTAGAAAAACACTACTGTACTCATCGGCCTACATTACTATCTGGCCTTGGTTACGAATCAATAACGTTTTCTGACTTCCGTCCAGTATTGTTCGCCAGTTATCAGGGATCACAATCTGCATTTAACAAACTTTTATTCTAATGGTAATGCTGCCAAAGTCAGAAAACATTTTGTCCTTAAAAATGGGCCTAAACTCGGATTTCCATTGATCTTCGAGATCGATTTGATATTGCAGGTTTAATGGCATAACAAACTAACACCTTTGCAGGGGTCCATCAAAATCCCAGCTTGAAGGTTGCCAACCTTAGGTTATTTGTTATTGGGTAAGAAAACCATGTGAGTTTATAGACGCTGTCTGTGCATTGTGTGACGGGCTGTGTTCAGTAGTGAATCTATGCAGCTTGCATATCTCCACTGAAACTGTGCTAAAGAAAGACTACAGAGTGGCAATCATTATTATTATTTTATTATTTATATAGCGCCATCAGATTCCGTAACACTGTACAAAGGGTGGACTAAAAGACGTTTAATTGTAACCAGACAACTCGACATACAGGAACATAGAGGTGGAGGGCCCTGCTCAATGAGCTTACATTCTAGAGGGAGTGGGGTATAGTGACACAAAGGGTAAAAATAGGGGTGTGAAGTAAGTTGTTAGAAAAATATACGCTGAGGGCTTAGTTGGTAATATTTGATAGTTGCAGGAGAGGAGTCATGGAGGGTGGAGGATAAAAACCTGCTAACAGCTTAATTGATATGCTTTCTTGAAGAAGTGAGTTTTCATTGATTTTTTTTTGAATGAGTGGAGACTGAGTGAAATTCTTATGGAGGAGGGAAGGGAGTTCCACAGAAGAGGTGCAGCACTGGAAAAGTCTTGGAGGCGAGCGTTAGAGGTGGGAGTACGGACAGAGGTTATACGTAGGTCTTTGGCAGAGTGTAGGGGCCTTGACGGGACATACTTGTGTATTAGGGAGGATAGGTAGGTTGGAGCAGCATTATGTAGGGACATGTAAGCAAGCACCAGAATTTTAAATTGAGCCCTATATCTAACTGGAAGCCAATGCAGGGACTGATAGAGTGGGGAGGTGTGGGAGGTGCGAGCGGACAGGAAAATGAGCCTTGCCTCCGCATTCATTATAGATTGCAACGGTGCAATCTGGGAACACGTAAGACCACTGAGAAGAGTACTGCAGTAGTCCAGGCGAGAGAGAACAAGAGCATGGACCAGCACCTTAGCCGCATCCGGGGTTAGATAGGCGCGGATGCACGCTATGTTTTTGAGATGGAAGCGACAGGATTTGGCGATTGATTGGACATGAGGGGTGAAGGAGAGGTTGGAGTCAAAAAGAACACCCAGGCCGCGAGCTTGAGCTCACACTTCTGATTTATATGGATTGGAGCTGTGAATCCAGGGGTCTCATATTTACCAGTACTGCTCTTTCTTGACCCTTCATTGCCCTCCATTTATTATAAGATGGGTGATCTGTCAAACAGATCCATGCAGATGACCACATTGATGTGGGGGGGGGGTCACAGGGCCTTTCTAGGTCAGATCTTGGCTTAACCCCGTAGAAAGCAGCTTTACATACTATGGCATTCCCAATGACTTGCAGATGTCTTTTTAGACAAATTCCTTATCCTGCAGTAGATCATATCGCGACGTTAATCACATACTCTCAACACTAATACATCAACTGTCTTTCTTCATTAGGCCTTTTTTTTGATGTTCCCATCCCACTCACTTATTCCGATTGTACCTTGATGATGTGCTCTCCCTTAACAATCCACAGAGATCACTGGACATTGCGGTAGAAACTAAATATTTATACGGAGCCAAGCTTTTACCAGCAGGTGGAAGACGTCAAACATAATAATGTAAAGAAATCATTGATCATGTTGACTTTTTATTACAAATGTCTGTTGTGGTCGTTAATGTAGTATCTCAGTGACTGGCGTAATGTAGGGGCCCATGGTAGCTTAAATAAATCCCTTAATATAAAAAAATTATATTATTAAATATTCCATTAACCTCTAGTAACACATTGTTAAATAAAGATCCACGTAACTATGCAGTTCTTTTATGTCTGAAACAATACAGAGGTATATTACTATTTAATCTTGTGAAGAACCCAACGTATTAAAATACCATTCTGTATATAAAAACAGGAGGTTATTCAATAAAGTTATCTGAGAGCCAGCTTAGAAATTAGACCAAATTAGCTTATCTGGGATTTATTTCTAATTTAGCGGAGATGGATATATTTTTAGTAACTCTGCTCTTTTGGCCTGAGTTCCGCGATCCAGTTGGCAATTCAGAACAAATCAGTGTTTAGTGAAAAGGCCATTTAGATGACAAGTTTATTCCTCTGGTACATAACGCGAATACACTGGGGATTTAGCCATCTACTGTACTCACTGCAATATTACTGTTATGGCACGTACTCCAGTGTAATGCCATAATATAAAAATGTAATGACATATTGGCTGTTAATTCAACGGGCGGATTATGGTTTAGAACATAGTACTGCACAGATTGTGACATCATTTATTATTATTATTAATGAACGGGGAATAATACACAGATCATCTCGGTGCAGTATGTGGTTTGTAATCGCAGGCAGAACTGGGGCATTCATTTTAAATCATTAGCTGCCATAATTTTAATAATTTTTAGTTGATTAGCTGCCACCTGGGACTGGAACTCCTACTAATTTCAGGCAGGAATGAGATGGGTACGTCCCAGTGCTCCTCAACCCCTACACTACCCTAACACAACAAACGTAATATTAACCTGTATTCTACTCTGTCTCTAAACATTAACCCCTACGCTATCACTATTAACACTTAACATTAACCGCTACTCTATCACCATACATTGGTCGCTACAATTCACTAACACTAAACATTAACCCCTACTCTATCACTATACATTGGTCGCTACAATTCACTAACACTAAACCTTAACCCCTGCATAACTAATATTGTAACCCGTACACTACCCTAGCAATAATCATTAATGAAATATGAAACATAATAATGGAGCGTGTATTGTGAGAAAATTATACTATCTACTCGTTCTGGAGACGTCGCAATAAACTGAGAATTGTCACCTAAATTTGTATGTTTATCTATGCCCTCTATTTAACATATTTAATCTCTACTTCAACCCTACATTTAGTAAATATATTTTTGTGAGGTCTCAAAAATTAAACTTAAGTGTAGATTGTACAGCGCTAAGGAATTTTCTGACGCTATATAATAATAATAGATATCCACGCATCTATCATTAAACTGGGCGCCTCCATCTTGGTCCCCTAGCAATCATCATTCTTGACCTTTGCATTATTTTAACATATCGTAAGATTAGAACCGAAACAATGTTTCTATTCTCCACCTAATTTACATTGTATGCCCTAGCTGTGCCTAGACTGAGCTGGATTGTGATGTCATTTGCTAAAAGTTTAACCCCTTAAGGACACATGGCATGTGTGACATGTCATGACTGCCTTTTATTCCATAAGTTTGGTCCTTAAGGGGTTAATATACATTTTCAAAGAAAACTGAACATGAAAAGAAGTTACGAAGTTCTAGATACATTTTAATGTTTTATTCCACAGTGTAATTTTCAGAGAACTGAGAGTAATAAAGAGGTTAATGGTTAGTGTTGGGGTTCTGTAGAGGTTAATGTTCATCTCTAGTGTAGTGTTTGGCTTAACGTTAGTGTAGGTGTTATATATCCAAGTGTGTTAATGAATCTATATTTGCTGTGCCTGCGTGCTGTATTGACAGGCTCCGTGTCTAGCTATCAGGATATGTTATTATCAACACCCACATGCCTTTAGTATCGGAGATAACACCAAGATTCCTGACCACAAAACCATCATTTAATCTTACAGCTTTGCAAATGCTTCCTTCTTTTCCATTAAGTTGCTGCATTGCAGTGCAATCTCACTCTGCAACAACCAGTGCAATTCTAATTTCTTTTTTAGTCCCTTGTTTTTTTTCGTTGCTTGTATCACCACCTCTCGTTCTGCCTGCTTTTCACGCCATCTGCCCTTTCCCAACTCACTCCTACTGTTCCTCTGTTCGTACTGAATATATTTTACTTTGGTTTCCTCCACTCTACTTTGATGTGTTTCTCTGACTGTCTCATCTCTCGCCCCCAACACCTCTGCCCTATTCTGTGCATTGACTACCAATCCCCCCTCCACACCTCCCAGTTTTCCCAGTAACACAGGCTCACGCCACTGAAACATTTTTCTTTATTATTATAATTTTTTTTTTTAAACGAGCAAAATGAAGATTTGTTTGTGGATAAATGGATTCTTGCAATTCCAAAAACATTGCAAAAATGGAATGCATTCCTCTAACTGTTAATAATAGCATTGACGATGCATTTTGTGATAGAATGTATCTGAAAAATACTGCTGGGGTATGCAGTGATCCCTGAAGATTTGCTACTGAGAGCCGGAGGACAAGAGACCAAACTCAACGAGGGCGAAAAAGTAATTATGTGCTGAGAGAGCAGAATAGACAATGCGAGGAAAATCAGTGACGACAGAGCAACCTATCCGAGATGCATGATCTTTACTGCAGCCACGGATTGTAATAGTCCTCTGCAGACCTCGTTTGTTTCCCAGTGCCGGTCCCCTCGTGTAGGGTTTTAGTTTTAGTGTTTTCTCATTCTGGTCATTGACAAACAAGCTGGGCTTTAATAGATGATCCTCATTTATTGAAGCAGACTCTTGCTTCGCCTCATTTATATTGCTAGTGCCTGCTGTTATGTGTAAGAGAGAAAAAAATGCTTCATTGTAGATTAAGTTGGCTCAACTGCAGATCACGCTTCCTGAATTCCAGAAGAAATGTGCAGGGAACTCGCAGCGGCTGAAGATGGGCTATCTTTTTACCATTTGTTCCAAGGGTTGATGGTGATATTAATGTTGATGCAAAGTCTTTGATACTATGTCCTACAATTAGTAAGATAACTGGACCTAACAAGCAAATTATTTAGGGATGGTTAGTGTGTCTTCAACCTGCAAGGAGACCTTCTGATTGACCTTCTGCAGTAACCTGCACCTCGCACAGAGACGAGACTTGCAGGACAGTTCTGCAGTATTGGGGACCTCCTTATTGGAAAAAAACACCCCCTTTGAAAGATCTGGCTTTGATTTAGTTCACAAAAGAAAAACACAAGGTTCTATCAAAGAAGAACGTTGATTTAGTCACAGAAGGTGCTATCACAGAAGAAGACACGGGCATCTCATTAGAGTACAAGTTTTATCACAGAAGAACACAGGTCCTATCACCGAGGAGGACAGCTCCTGTCACATATGGTCCCAGCAAGGATGAAGACCAGTCACTCTGGGCACTTCATAGTCCGATGAGTGTTGAACACATCTTTTTCATTTTGCAGTCATTAAAAAAAGAACATAAATCTAGTCACCCACACCCCTGCCATCTTCAAAGCTAGAAGGAATTTTATTTATTTATATATTTTTCATTAACTGTTCTGGATACAGTGCACCTGTCTCTAGTCATAGTGTATAGCTCTGATCCTGCATATTTATACATCTTCCTTGTGCATTACTATTTAGACCTATTTTTTTACCTTTTGAATTGTATGTTGGTTTTAACCATTTCCCTTCTTCCTACCTTAATTGGGTGTTGTGCCTATAGGATAAAGAACAATATTACTGTTTTGTACTATAGTCCTAATTTATTGTTACTTTTAAACTATATATTTTTTTTATACTTTATATTTATTTGTTAAACTCATTTTAAACCGTTTCAGAAATTCTGTTCGTTTCATTTGCTGTCAAGAAAAAACATTTTTTTTTTTTTTTACAGCATTTATATTATACTTTAACCTGTGACCAAGTATTTCACTGTGTAATTTGAGTCATAAATCAGAATATATATTTTTCCTTAGCTACCATGTAGAGAAATTCCTTGTGCCATTTTTTAATTTTTTTATTATTATTCCTTTCGGAGATGCGTAAACATTTTTTGGAGGAAATCACGTGTTTTCTTTGTATAATGTTCATTTTTTTTTTTTTAAATCAGTCATTTGACACTTGAAACCAGATCTTGACCTCCGATATGGTAATATTTTGTTCTGCTCAACAGTCCTCTAACCGTTACATTGTTTCTGGCGTTTTTGTAGACATCCCCTGCTGTGGCACACGATCGTTGCAATGGTTTTTGTCTGTCTTCTAAGCTTACTTTAATGGGGAAAGTTTAATGAAAAAGTAGCCAGAATTTAAGGTTGTTGAACATAGTGAGCACTCTACACTTATTCGATATCTTTTTTCCCCCAATTTTTTTATATCTATTGTAGCTTTTGTTTTTTTTTATAAATATGCTTTTCCATATTTTCCACCAATTAAAGATAAAATGGGTTTGATTACCTAGTTTCTTTACTGGAATTAGATACTGTCAGATCCAATTTCTGGTTTTCTTCAGAATTATTTTAACATAAGTATAGTAGTTCGATGGTTATTGTCTAAAGTTATGGCTGGTATCACACATGTTTAAGTGGTTTGTGATCCACCAAGTGTTTTATGAATATAAATTGTTTGGCCAAATGTCGTGGACAGGATTGAACTCCTAGTTTATCTGTAACCATGTTACTTGGTTTAAAGTGTGGTTTTAAAGCTTTTTAACAATCTTCTCTATTTTGTTTTCTGGTCATAGTTATTGCAAATTTTTCCCAAAGGCTTCTGGGAAATGGCGAGGTGTTGATTTAATTTTTCTGCTGTGTCAGTTACCATGTGAGGTCCTTTCGCTTTCTTCCCACAACTTTCTCATTGCAAAGTTCTGACTCATCCATTTGAACTATGCTGAAGAATGGAGAATTTATAGGATTATTCTTGACCTTTTTTTAAATTCAGTAGCAGAAGTAACCAGAAAAGGGGAAGATTACACGATGGGAAACAAACCATCTTTGTAACTAATTTGGTGTGGACGTTATTTTTAACTTTTTTAAAAAAACAAAACACACACATATATATATATAATATAATTTTGTTGTCATGGAGCTTTGCTGATGCCCAACTTGCGAAGTTTATTTTCATTCATGTATTCAGTTTTCAGTTCTGTAGTTTTTGATACTCCTATGTAGCTTTTCATCTTGTTCCTTTGGGAAATTGTATAAAACGGAGCCCAAGGTTATGCGAAGTCTGCACCTCTAATTAGTGTAGGTTGCTTCTCCTCAAAGTGCGAACTGAAATCAGCATAGAAGATCAAATGCATTAATAACTTAAATGAACTCGTTATAAACACCTTCTAATGTTTTGTCTTTGAAACGCAACATTTCATTTAGAACTTTGCTTCATAGAATTTTAGAGTTCCGGCTCTTTGGGGCAGTTAATGTTTCTCCATCTTTGACGGTCATGTCTTCCGTCATGTTGCCCCCAGCTTTAAAATTTTTTGGGGTATATGATATGCCGTGTATAAAATCTGAATATTTTTCAGGAAGAAATTGGAAATTTCAATGACAATGACTAACCTCTATTTATCATATACATTGTAAAGAAAAAGCTAAGAAAAGGACCAGATGATTGCATGAGGAAGTGGGTTGTTTTCTAAGACATTATAGATTGATGAAGAGTCCATTATCTAACATACTTAGGTAAAATTCTGCCAGGGCTGAATTTGACTTGTAATCTTCAAAAAGAAAATAATCGAGAAGCAGACTGATCTTTCCCTCTCTACCAGATATTTGGACCATTGTTTGGAAAATGCAAACGTCCAGTAGTGATGACCCTAGCTACAGCCAAAGCTCCCCACCTAGAGGGCGAAGACCTCGCTGGAAGGGGGTGTATAGTGGGAGATGGGGGGTAGGCAATAGTTCTTCTTTCAGTGGGGTGCAGCCAAATCCAGAAGAAGCATCTGTTGGAGAAGGCAAAAAGGAAAATCGAGTGATTGTTCTGTATCTGGATCTTTCCTTTCTTTTACTCCTAGAGCTGAAGAAGATGAGTATGACTCGGAGCTGCCTCCTGTGCATCAAAATCACGATGTTCGTCTTTAACCTCATCTTCTGGGTGAGTGGGATCTTTACATGTATTCTCATTACCAAACTCTCACATTTTCTCTTTTTTCCCCAAATATGTATATTATTAAAAGGCAGGACGCTTTACAACACAAAGCTACAAAGAATAACAGCCAAAAAGCAGAGTAGAAAAGTCAGGGCATCATAAAAAATGACTTCAAAATCCAAATCTGATTCTCATACATTAGCCAGAAAATATCTTAAAGTAGACCACACTTTCCCCTCCCCCCTCCACCCCCCCTGCAAAATGAGTATTTCGTAAAGATGGAATCTTTATAAAATACTGTATTGGAATTTCACTGAAACCAACCCAGTCAGGGGCAGGTTCAGGTAAGTAAATCTCACCTTGGCCTGCCCAGCCAGGTCCGCTTTAAGGCATCCTGAGCCCTTTCATGGACATGTAGGTTAAGACAGGGCTTGACAAAAAATTTTTTGGAATCTAGGAGCCAGTTTTTTTTAAACTAACAAAGTTTAATTTTCAATGAGAAAAATGCAATTCTTAAAGGGGCACTAAAGTCACCAGAATCACTACAGTTTAATGTAATATTTCTGTTGTCTATAGCCTGTCCCTGCAGGCTTTTCAATATGAACGCTGCCTTTTCAGAGAAAAGGCACTGTTTACGTTGCTGCTTAGTAACACTTCTAGTGACAGTCACTTAGACAGCCACTAAAGTCCTACGTCAGAGCTGCGTAGTACACAGCATCCATGTTCAGCGTCTCCAAGCTCTGCATGGAGGCGCTGAATGTTCCTCATAGAGATGCATTAATTCAATACCTCTCTATGAGGAAATGCTGATTTGCACAACAGAAATATCCTCCCAGTGCTTTCCTGTGGGAAAGCATTGGCTTAGCTGAGATCATTGATAATCTCAGCCATGGCGGTGGGATTAGCCACGGCAAAACTGGCACGGCGTAGGGAAAAAAGGGGGAGAAAAACACCTTTCTCGTGTGATCGGAGGGGGCAGGTTCTTAAGCAGACACACACACTCTGACTGAGAAACACACACTCTGACAGACATACACTGGCAGGCACACACACACTCTGACAGACATACACTGACAGGCACACACACACTCTGACAAACATACACTGACAGGCACACACTATCTGACTGAGAAACATACACACACATACACAAACTCTGACAGACATACACTGACAGGCACACACACACTCTGACTGAGAAACATACACACACACTGACACACATACACACATTCTGACAGACATACACTCTGATAGACATACACTGACAGGCACACACTCACTGACTGAGAAACATACACACGCACTGACACACATACACAGACTCTGACAGACAGACACACACTCTTGACACCCACACATTTTCTCACACACTCACAAATTGGTATTTTTATTTTAATTTAAATCCACACAGCCTCCCTACTTTTGGAAGAGATGGAGTGGATCTTTTACTGGGCTGCTTTCTAATCTTCCTGCAGTTTCTCTCTGCTCCCCTGCACGCTCTCTGTAGTGATGCCGGGGCTGGAGTGATGTCATATTCCGACTTCGGCATCACTAAACAGCATGCAAGGGAGCAGAGAGGAACTGCAGGAAGATTACTGCTCCCTCGCACACCGCCCTCCATGTTCCCTGCTGCGGCCAGCTTCAAAGTTACCCGGTGGCGGATGGCTTCAGTGTTTCCCAGGTGCCAGGGCGAAATTTCTAGTCGCCATTGTGACCTGGCGCCTCCAATTTGTCGAGCCCAGCGTTAAGAGGAGACCACATACAAAAAAAAGTTGACCTTTCTGTCTTTATTGTGGGTTGTCTCCTCCTATTCAGAAAAATAGTTTAATATGTGGGAGTAAACTGCAAACATTAGAAGGAAGTCCTCCTTCATACCAGTGTTTCCAGGTTACTTTTCGCAGACTATAATTTTTGCACACCACTCACATTTTCAGGTACAGTTATTGCAGACGATCTGTTTGCTGTGCAAACAGAAAAGTGTAAAGAAATCAAATTAAGAACACAACGGTAGAAAATCATTCAGAGGATAAAATAACAGCACGTCACATGGCTAATATAATTCATGGTGATTTATGATATTGTTTTTTTTATCCACTCTTGATAAATCTACCTTAATGTGTACGATTACTTACACATTACATTAGCATCTACCTAGGCTGATTGATTTCTTCAATTACTTGGCCACGTTTGTACTACTATATCAGTCATTACCAGGGTGAATAAGAGAGCAGAGAGAAGTAAAAAAAGTTTACTGCTATCGGGCCACAAAGATACACACATTTAACAAAATATACAGTAAGTGACACAAATCTATTTGAGATGCCGTCTGTATATGATAGAATTCTGATGATGACTGATGAGCACACTTACACATGCAGCTCTTTGTGTACATAGCATTAGCTGCACGCTTTTCCTGGATTCTAAAAACATCATCTTTGCTCTGAAATATGTCTGCCTAACTTGTGTTTTTGTAGATGATTCTTCAGCCAGATGAAAAAGTGCAGACTGAATTTTTGTCTTTTTTTTTTTTTTTTTTTTAATTCTCCCTTTTTGCTCCCCTACAGCTTGGAGGATGTGGCATTCTTGGAGTAGGCGTTTGGCTGGCTGTCACCCAGGGGAAATTTGCCACGCTATCCATCTCCTTCCCTTCACTCTCAGCCGCCAGCCTGTTCATGGTCACTGGCTCTGTCATAATGGTAGTAGGTTTCATTGGCTGCCTGGGTGCCGTGACCGAACACCGCTGCCTTTTGCTCACGGTAAGTTCTGCGTAGTTCCGAAATACAAAACGTCCCCGTTTTTAACAATGCTGACAAAATCTTAAAGGAACACTATAGGATCAGGAACACAAACCTGTATTTATTACTATGTAGTGTTAAAATCACCATTTAGGCTTGCCCCCCTTAAAAGGTAATAAAACTTACCTTCATTCTAGAGCCATACCTGGCGCTATTCCTGCCCCCGATCTGCTTCCATGGCTGACATCATCAGAAATTATAATCTTAGCCAATCCAATGCTTGGTGGAGCCAAAGGCTGCCCTAACCAGTCAGAACCTCCTCATAGAGATGCATTAAATCAATGCATCTCTATGGAGAAAGTTCAGCATTTCCATGCAGAGCATGGATACACTGAACATCAGTACTGAACAGTGTGCAGCACTGAGCCAGAAAGCACCTCTACTGGCCGTCTGAGTGACGCCTACTGGAGGTGTCCTTAGGTGGCAATGTAAACACTGCCTTTTCTCTAAAAAGTCAGCTTTTATATTAAAATGCTTGCAGGGACAGCCTATACCCACCAGAACAACTACATTAAGCTGTAGTTGTTCTGGTGACTATAGTGTCCCTTTAATTACTAATGGATTTTTAAGTCAAATAATTCATTTAATCTGTCTTCTATTGGACTTGTTTAAAAGAATGGGAGAATTCTAATGAAACTGTTATGGAAACAAGGATACATTCTGTACCCGAGGCTACAGAAAATCTGTCTTTTAAAAATGTTTGATCTGTTATTGAATGGGCCTGAATTTGCATACCTCCATCCAGATGTCTGCATTGCACTTAATGTTAGGACACCATCTGTTGTAGTTCCTATTTCCACAGTCCATTGTGGTGTTTACTGACTAAACTGTGTGTTGAATATTGAATTACAAGATGTGGGACAAAATGGCTAAATTGTAAGAATCAAGACTTGATACACTTTTCTGATTTGACCATTGTTCCCTACATTTTGTCAGCTTAACAACGCCGCTTTATTGAATAAACAAGAATTTCAGAAGGTTTGTTAAAGTTCCGTTATTCCATTTGTAGAATTACGAGTCAGAGCTGTGCTGGCCAACACATGGCATTGCCCCAGGTGTCTCCTACACTAGGTGCACAACACTAAAATAAAAGGTGTGCATTGTGTTCAAGCTCATATCTCACACTATACTCTTCTTTTTTCCCTATACAGTTTTTTGTGGTTTTACTTATTATCTTCGTTCTTGAGATGATTAGCATGATTCTGTTCCTCACGTACAAAGAAGAGGTAAGTGTGTTTCAAAATGGCTGAACAGGTCTTGAGAGTGTCTTACTGGGCCTCCCTTTAATATTAAACAAAGCCAGCTTTTAATCAAAATAGTATCTGCAAGTGCCTGGATATTCATAGGAAAATATCCTTCGCAACACTTCAGTGGTGTTGGTACTTCCCGAGAGATTTACAAGGTAGTCATGAGCAGGGCAATATTAACATATATTAAAGACTGCTGCTTATATTATAGGGTAACTCATTCACACCAAGAATAAAAAAATTTATATGCCGATATTACCTTCTAAATCAGTTTACTGTAGTTTAAACCAGATCAATGCGATAAATGTTGCTGTGGATTTCTGTGACACAGCCACACACTGGCTTGTGGCTGGTTTTATTGTGGCTTGTGATACATTCCTACACAAGGAAAATAAATGTAAGGATTTATTGTTGTGAAGCTCTGTGATACACTCAAGCTCGCTGTGCGTTACTGTGTGTTTTACTGATGTTGTGCACTGTAATACACTCGGCTATATTTTTAGATCTTCCATTCTTGCCTAAAATATTAAAACTCCTGAGAATTCACACTGTAGGGACTCTATATGAATCTATGTGTGTTTCAACCCAGAATCCTTAGCTCCGTTAAAAGAACCACATATTGAATGGTACAGGTCTGCTGTGATCAACATGATTTTGAATCATGTCTGTGTGTAATAAGTATCGTGTATACAAAGCTAATGTTCCTGCATGCCCTTTGGGAAAATGTCACAAATTTTCCTCTCGCATCATATGAATTGTATTTGTAGAATTTTTTTTATATGTCACAAGTTAGCATACCTCCCCCAACTGCCCCACGTTTGGCACAAGAGATCTGACATGGCTCCCATACTCCAACTTCCCAGGTTAGATGTTTGTTATGTTGTGTCATTAAATGTGTTCCTGAAAAATAACGAGCATTTCTGGATATTTGTGAGCAACCCAGGGGGCACCGCAGTCCATCAGAGCCAGCCGTCTATTCATAATATGTGAGCGTTAATGGACATGATCTTTTTTGGGGTGGCGGGTCTCATTAAAATAACTGTCTTGCAGATTGCATACTTCATATGTTTATACACATACATGATTAAATGGTTGCTCGACTGATGTGTTTTTTTCTGCAAACCTTTTTTTTTTGCAGTTTCACAGTTACGCTCAGGAAGACCTGAAAAAGGGACTTAAGCTTTATAAAACGAATGGAAATCTTGGACTGACTAATGCGTGGGACATTGTGCAGACACAGGTAAACGAAATCCAAGCCCACATTGCTGGAAATTTAGTAATACAAAACGTTTCTGGCTAAGTGTCTGTGAACTGGAATCTAAGAGTTTATGGGAGCTATTTATCAATGGTAACGTGCAATGGAAAAAATAGAGCACACTGCAGAAAAATAAATATTTTTATTGAAAAGTTATATTTTTCAAAAGTGGAGCGATCAGTCTGCTACAGAAAGCACACTGTTTAAATTGTGTATAAATGAATGACTGACTTAGCAAGGAATCAGAGCCAGTTCAAGGATTTTTGGCTACATAGGTGAATATGCATTTTGCTGCCCCATGCCTCACTCCCGTTCCTCCCGAAAAAAGTATCTTCATCTGTGTCACTTAACCCCCCTCTTGAATTTCTTACCCCCTTTTGTGTTTCTTATCCTCTTTTGAATGTCTTATCCCATTTTGTGTATCTTATTCATCTTTTGCCTTACTCTTCCCTTTGTGTATCTCTTACATCCTTCTAGCCCCTGTGTGTGTCTTTCTCCCCTTTCCAGCCCCTCTGTGTGTCTCTTCCACCCAACACCATGTCTCTTTCTCCCCCAGCCTTTCTATGTCTCTGTGTCCCCCCCAGCTCCTCCCAAAGTCTTCCCCCAGCTTCTGTCTGTCTTTTTCACCCCTCTGTGTCTTTGTGTGTCCCCAGCTCTTCTGTGTTTCTCTCCCTCAAAAAAACCCTGCCCCTCTGTCTATTTGTCCCCCAGCCGATCTGTGTGTCTTTTTCCCTCCACAGCCCCATTTGTGTGTCTCTTTCTCCCCCAGTCCCTTTATGTTGCGTTGTGCCCCACCAGCTCCTCCTTGTGCCTCATCCCCCCATGTTTCTTATTCCCTTCCCCAGCCTCTCTGTGTGTCTAATTTTCCCCATCAGACCCTCCACCTGTCTCATTTCGTCTCCCCAGGACCCTCCCTTCATGTATATTATTCCCTCCCTATCATGTGCTTCATTCCCCTAGCACCTCCATTCATATGTTTCATTCCCCCAGTCCCCCTTGTATGTCATTACCCTTACACAGCCTGTGCCAGCGTACCACCTTCTGTAGCATGGCCGAGCCGTGGATTGGGGTAAAGTGAAACAAGTTTTGTCAGACTGGTGAGAGTGAAACCAGTTCCTCTACCCCGGTCCGCGGCTCGGCCACGCTACATACAGAGATCGGCAGGAGGTGAGCGCAGTGCTGTGCCCTCCTCCTGCCGGTCACCCGGACCCGGTGTGCCCTAAGGAATAAGAAAGTCTGATCCGTGTTCATACATTTTTGCAGCATAGTTTTAAAGAATCACTCATAAGCACTATTAGCATTACAGCTGATTGTAGTTACATAGTTACATAGCTGAAAAGAGACTTGCGTCCATCAAGTTCAGCATTCCTCACATTTGTTTTTTGCTGTAGTGGTTATGGTACAATATGTATTTAGATGCACTCCTTCATGTTGTTGTCAAACCATGTTTGACTCCTCTGGTGTTGCTGGAATAACCAGGGATTTCCATTTGGGCTAAGGTTACCCCAGAACTCTTAGCATTGCCATCCAAATCCAAAGAAACATAGTGTGCCTCTAGAGCCCCCAAGCAGGCCTTTTTTTTTTTTTTTAATCAATTTGTAGCTACTGATTGACTTAGAGCGTCAGCTGACTGGTGTAATCTAAGCTGTGGCTCCACTGACTGGCGGTACTCCGCACTTCCCAAAACTGTGGGGACCTGCAGATCAGCGCTGGAGGCACACTTTGGGGATAAACCGTTCAAGAACGGTTGAACCCCTTTGAAATAAGCGTGCGCCTGAAGGCTTCCTGGCACCATAACAACTCCCGTGTTCCTTAAGTAGAATTCTACTGGTGTCCATAGTGATTGCTCCTTATTTAATACTCTGCCTTGATATCCTGCAAGTAATAGTGGTATCATCAACCATGTATGACGTATCATGCATATATTTGTCCTTGTTCGCGGAGTTTCACGTTGAAGGTCAGAGATTGTAAGTGATCCATTAATCACAGCACTTTGCTGTCATTATATCCGTGCTTAACAAATCCCTCAATCCAACTGATCCATCACTTCTGCAATATGAAATAGAAGGACTTTACGTGTCATCTAGAATTTAATATTTTTATTATTTATAAAGCAACAACATATTACACAAAGCCCAACTGTGGATATGTAAGTTTAGTATGAGTGAGATTTAATTCAACTATTCGTTAATTCCTCATTTACAGAGTCTTTTTAAACTTTTAAGTGCACTGCACTGGTACCGTCTGACATGTTAAAAAAACGCTGCAAGCACCATAACTACTACACACACTGTAATGTTATGGTGCCCTGGCGTCCCCTTTGTAAGTTTGCATATTGTTTTAGAACAGTTTGATTTCCTACACGGGGACCACCAGGTACTACTCCCTGTCTCCACTACTTCAGAGCTGCAGAAGCAGGAATCCGATCCAGTCCATTTATTGGGTAAGAGCATAAGCTGACTGCTCTCAACCAGTGAATGGCACACTACTACTAAATTTGAACAGAATTGACATTAGCCAGCTCAGAACTATTGTTCTAGACTCTAATGACGCCCAAGTAGCACTGCAAGATGTGGAGTTATACATCTGGAGCAAAGGGGTTAAACTGCATATGTGCAGCATTTTGTAGCGAAATGCTACACGTACAGACTCCAAGAACCATAGCCACTTTAAATCTCTGTCATATTGTCATGGTGCTTGGAGTAAACTATAGGCTAGGAACTATAGTGCTAGGAATGCAGACTTGTATACCCCCCTCCCCCCCCATAGGAAAGCATTTACATATTACAAGGAGTGAGGTACGAGCAGGTAGCTCCGTCAACCTAATAAACTGAACGAACGAAGACAGTCTTTTTGTCATTTATATTCGTTCATTCTTCTTTCAGACAAATGAATAAGTAGCCAAAATTCCTGCCCGAATTCCTGTCCACATTCTTATGTTTCTTTTTCCTGATGTTATAGTCAATGAGTATTGCAACATCCGACACCATTGCAGTCTTCCATTCCTTGTCTACAACTACAATGTCAGGTTGGTTGGCCAGTACTTACTTGTCTGTCTGGATCTGAAAATCTCACAGGATCTTAGCCTTGTAATTCTTAACTACCCTTTGTTGTATCTCCTATCTGGACTTAGGCACACAATCCCAACAACTTGTGCCTCTCAGTGTATGCTCTCCCAGCTAACATCTTGCACCCGGATGCTATATGCAGGATTGTTTCAGAGGCCTCTTTGCACAGTCTACAGCTTGGGTCTTGCCTTGTGTGGTAGGCCCCTGCTTCTATTGATCTGATGCTGAGTGCTTGTTCCTGTGCTGCTCGGATTAGTACCTCAGAGCTGTCTTTCAGTGCTGCTTTTTCCAACCACTGGTAGGCTTTTGTAATGTGAGCCACATCCACTATTTGCCCCATGGAGAGGTTTGTCGTGCCATGGAACCTCCTCTTTTTCTGCATCCTTTATCTGTAGTTGTCTCAGGCATTCCCTTAGCAGTTCATCTTTGGACCCTATCTTCATGATGCACTTGTGGATGCTCTGTGTTTCTTCCAGGACTATGGCCTTGACACTCATCAGACCCAGACCCCTTCCTTCCGGCTAGTGTACAGTCTGTGTGTTGGATTTCGGGTGAAATCCTCAATGCATAGTGAGTAGTTTCCACGTTTTTACATCCAAAGTGACACTGGCTTTTCTTGACCAAGTTATTGTTCGAGCGGGTACCTGATGACTGTTGATGACTTGGATCTTGTTGTCAACATTGAGCTGAGACTTCAGGACCTGTCTGACTCTCCATGGGTTTGTGGTACATCCAGGTAAAAGGTCCCTTCCCCCCCCGTTCTCGGTGAGTGGCGGTGGCCAAGCCCCCAGGGTGAAGAGTAGAGAAGAAAGAAGAAGAAAGTAGAAAAGAGAAAATGAGGGTGGGGTGGATATTGTTGTTGGGGAGGGGGGAAACGTGTAGCTGCATTCTGTGTTTTGGGGTCTAAGGGACGTCCGTGTGTGGCTGGTTGTATGGTGTATGATGTCTGGCGTTCGGGCGTGTGTGCTGGGGTTTGTGAATGCAGAATGCCATCATCACATTCTGGTACTTTAAACGGAGGTGTCCTATGTGTTTTCAATATTTTTGTCTCACCCAGTAGCAATACGTTTTATGTTATAATTTTGCCTTGGATACTTGGCTATCTTGGCACAGCCATGGCTCGCTATCTAAATTATTTTAACCCCCGCAGTGCTGTCTGTGTGGGTGCAGGCACGTTTAGGACATTTCTATTTAGAGCTTTATGGGGTCATGGTCATCCTGAATGCAGTAAAGGTAGGTGCATTTTTTTACTTACCTTCCCTGCACTGTTTGCCCCAGTAAATGCTTCAATAGTGTATACTGGAGAATGTTAACCGCATGTCGAGCTGGTTTTAAAGACCCTTAGCCAGTGCGGAATGTCCAATTTGGCATCAGAAGCAGTAGAGTACGTCCGTGTGACTTAAAATGCTGAAAAATTCCCAAGATACATTAACAATAATTCGAATGGCCACGCTGTTTAATATGTCCTAATATGGCGGTGTCTCTCTCTTTTAGTTCCGATGCTGCGGGGTGAAGAATTATACAGACTGGTATGATGTGAGCAATAATTTCACTGTGCCGCACTCCTGCTGCTCCGAACACCACGAGGACTGTCAATCCATGCCCACCACCTGGTGGAAGGATGTGAGTGTTCCTTTTTCTTGTTAACAGGGATTCAAAAGAGCCAGTAAGAAATACAGCAAAGCCTACTTTCTAAGTGCTACAAGGTGCAAATATAGTATATTTATATATTTTTAGAGAAGTTTTAACCCCTTAAGGACACATGACATGTGTGACATGTCATGTTTTCCTTTTTTTTCCAGAAGTTTGGTCCTTTAAGGGGTTAAACTGCATTAGTAACGACTGTTTAGCATGTTTAGATAGATAGTGCACATAGATCCTCTTCTTGCTGATGGACAGTATATGAAAAGTGATACCCTAGAGCAGAGATTGGCAACATTTAGCACTCCAGATGTCATGGGCTACATGTCCCCTGTTGCTTTGCCAGCATTATCGCTGTATAAGGATTGTGGGAGATGGAGTCTATAACACGTGTAGTGCTGAAGGTTGCCTGCCTCTAAGCGTGTATAGCATTCATATGCTGCAAGAATAAACTTAAGTTGGCTAACTGAAGCTGTTTGTTCTGGTTTCTCGTTGATCCAATAATTGCTTTCCTTGGAGCGCCATTTAAATTCTCTTGGTGCGGGGCAGCTCTCTTCATATATTGCCATCAACATGTTGTAATATCTATATAGGTATCTGGATATATATCCAGAAAAACACAGCGGGTCTGACAACCCTAAAGGTAATTTTTTTTTATTTATTTATTTTTAAACTCATTGCTCTGACACATCTAGGATTATATACGTTAAACTATCAAATTGTTTTCTACCTTGCCCAAAAGTTAAATTGTTCATATAATTTCATTTACAAAAGATGAAAGTGTATATAACTTTGATGATAGATATTAAAGTATGAAGCCATCCACGGCACCGTGACAATCCATCTTGTGTAGTAACGTCCGTATTCAGTCTGGCACACTCATCCTGTTTTGATTGTGAAATTGTACCAGGCCACAAGCTGCGATAATTTGCTTCTCCAACAGCACAGAAGCTCTGAAATGATTAATCCAGGACAGATTTAAGGATTCAGTTAACATTTTTGACTACATTTCAGCAAGTCATTAGGCAGAGAGCCTTGCTGTATAAATTAGGTCAGTGCCTTAACAATATCTCTTGGGATTTATTCACTAAACAACGGATTGTGGTGAATTGAAAACCTAATTTGCAAATTGGGAATTTTTCCAAATCAGTAATTTTTTACGAACATTTGCAATAGAATTTACTACAATCTGCTGTTTAGTTAATAACGCCCTTGAAATACATATGACATATTCTATTTCCTTGCACCAAGAAGAGAGAAACTTTAAAATATCTCTTTATAGTAATCGGTGATTGGTTGGTGGGCTTTGTCCAATTAAAAGCTGGGTCCTATAAAAAATATTGAACTGTTATTTAAAAATACATTAGTCTAAACCCTCATTTTGTAAGTAATTGTTTATATGCTGTTTCAGACCATTATTAGGAAAGTAACCCCTTAAAAAATAGACAACCGTTGGCACTCCAGATGTTGTGGACTACATCTCCCATAATGCTCTAACAGCCATATTGACCGCAAAGCATCAGAGGAGATGTAGTCCAAAACCTCTATATTGCTAAAGGCTGCCTACCCCCGATGAATACTGTCATAACAATCTGTTCTGTAGTTTTTTTTTAAGGATACAATTCTGTGGAATGTCCTACTTATTGATTAACAATGATCTGTAGGGGCCAGTGCTATATAAGCAGGAATCTCATCTTTCTTGAAGGTATTTGTGACGAGACCAATCTCGCCACTGTGCATTGGAGGAGCCTGGTTTCCTGCTTGCTGCCTTTTGACTATGGACCGGCATTTAAATACTTTATTTTCCTATGCAGAAAGGTCTATTCATGTATTTCTGCCCTGGCGTTCGGTAGATTCTCGGATTTACCGAATGAACTCATTTAACCCAGATAGCTATGCCATGGAGCCTATTCGTGTAATAAAAGACTTTGGCTCCATGGCAATTGAACTGTATGTGTGTGGTCTGAGCACCATTCAGTAATAATGTGCGCTCAGACCTAAGCTATCTGGGGATATGTTGCATGTCTGTATTTTATGTAATAAATGTAACCTTGTGTATTTTATTGTACTTTTTACTGCCATGTGTTTAATGTAAGTTTTATGTGAATGTGATGTATACTTTTAAAGTTATGAATAATGTGGAAAAACTGTATTTCTCTGCCTGTGATAATTACATTAACCCATTGTGTAAGGTAATTGTATCACAGGCAGAGGGAAGGATTTTGTGTGGGAGTGTCTGAGTGTATTGTACGTGTTTATTGGTTGTTTCCAAAACCCTGTGGGTGGTACTAATGTGTAAGAATGTGTATATAAGAACAATAAACCCACAGCTCTGTCTGTTCCTGTTTGACCCTCAAAACGGAGCCTTGTCTCGTTCTTGGGGGGATTTATTGTATGCTGTTCCAGTTTGACTGCTACGAGTGTAAACCTATTTGTATGGTTTTTCCTATTCGGCTGTTTACAGCATTCGTATGGTTCCGGTTCAGCTGTTTACTGCATTCATATGGTTTCCAGTTCGGCAGATTGGTGTCTTTGGTAGCTGCCTGTGTATCTGGAAGGGTAATATCCTCTAAACGGCGGTTTAACCCTTTTATGCCCGGGGTGCCGTTACAGTATTTATAGACCAGATTGTGATGGCGGTGAAGAATGCCATAGATCCCTATGGATTAAACAGAGTATACAATGGTTTATTAGGTTAAACTCCTTTAGGACCCGGGATAAGGCAAAGCCACTGATATGATGATATGACTGCTTATTGGGTAAGCTGGTGGAATGGAATCTTTAATCTCATTATGGAACCTTCATCTCCACCAAAAGAATTCTGAATTAATTTACGATCAACATGTATCATGTTTTTTTTTAATGACTTGAAGCAGCCAGTTATAATCGTTCCAGTTATTTATGGGGATTTGAAGCTGGTTGAGAATCATGGGTAATCCCAGTGGCTCTTGTTAACCTGAATCTGTCTTTTTATTTTTACCACTAACTGGGCAAGTTAAAGAGACGAAGCCACGTTTCCGTTCTGTTCTTGGGGTGTCAGGAAAGAGAATACGTTAGTAATCAATCTTGGTATCTTTTGTTTGTATGATATGTATAGTGACGCTACAAACCGAACATGGCAGAGTCTAGTGCCATGGGAATAGCAAAAGGAAATGGTATTATATCTACGGAGAGATCTATTTATCAAACCATGGCTGTGACGACAGCTGACCTGCAAATTTAAATTAAGATGTATGTTTTTTCTGGTTATTTTAGTCAAAATTTTTATTTCATAAACGTAATTCAGGATACTGGGTTTACAGCACTGTGTTGACTCTCAGGATCCCACAAGAGTCAATACAGAGAACAGATGCCTCTTCAGGACGTGTTGCCACTCTGGAGAGGGGTGAGTACCAAGTGGCCAACGACAAAGATGACAAAGGTTATAGAGTTTTAACTAAAGCTCCACCATTTGTAAAATGTTGTCAATCTGCAAGTTATATACAAGGAAACGTAGTCCCTACTTTGTCTTATATATAACTTTTAAAATAAGCATAGTTTTGAAAAAAGAAAAACATGGGGCAACCCAGGAGGAGATAAAAAACATTATTTTAAAAATAAATAAATGACACAGCTGTTTAACTCCTAAATGGCAGAGAATGGATGCCTAGGGTGCAGTCTGACTATAGTGCCTATAATACCAATTTTGCCAGCTTATTATTTTATATATATTTTACTAGGGATCAACCGATTATCTGTCTGGCCGATATTATCAGCCGATATTCTGTATTTTTAGCAATATCGGTATCGGCCAATAAAGATACTGATATTGCCGATAATGCAGACCAGGGCCTCCATCAGGGTCCTGTGGGGCCAAGCACACTCTTACTTACCTTCCCAGCAGCTTCCTTCAACTCCCCTGTCTAAATCTTGCGAGTCCCGCGGCCATCAGAGCATTGCCACGGGTTACCATGGCAATGCTCCGTGCGGCACACAGGCCGTGGGAGTTAGACAGGGGAGCTGAAGGGAGCTGCTGGGAAGGTAAGTAAGACTGTGCTGGGCCCCCTCTGCACAGTCCATGCCACCGGACCACCATGGAATGCCATATCCCCCCTCCCTGGCCAGGTAAGAAGCAGGGACGGGGGACTAGAACATAATTTAAAATTTTTTAATTTAAAATAAAAATAAAAATGCCCCCCACCCCCATTTTACACACTTAACATACCTACACAAACACTCACTGCACAAACACACACTACACACACACTGCATTTACTATACACACACTACACAAACATACACTCTGCATTCATTATATACACACTACACTACACACTGCATTCACTGTACATTCACTACACAAACACTCACTGCATTCACTATACACACACACTAGACAAACACACATTCTGCATTCTTTATATACACACTACACAAACACACACTGCATTCACTATATGCGCAAACACACACACACTGCATCCACTATACACACACTACACAAACACACTGATTATCGGTATCAGCCCTACAAAATCAATATAGATCAATCCCTATATTTTACTGATATCACACAATGCTGCTGAGGAAACACATCCAGGTGGAGAAAGTGTTTGAGCAGAGGGGGATTAAGATCACGCTGGGCCCAGGACAGGATATATTTATTTATTTTTAAAATAACACACTACACAAATGGATTGGGATTCCCCATTCACTCTTCACATGGGGATAAGTGAGACCAAGAAAACTCATGCTTCAGGGGCTATCTAAACCCTCGATACTAAGCAGCCGCCTAAAATTGCCTTATGGTTAAAGGAATACTATAGGGTCAGGAACACAAACATGTATTCCTGACCCTATAGTGTTAAAAACACCATCTATCTCCCCCAGGCTCCCCTTGCTTCTTTTTATATATAGTAAAATGTTACTTGTATTTAAGTCTGCAGTTGCTGCCTCTGCTCCTGATCTGCCTGCTTGGCTGACATCATCAGAAGTTATTCTGTGCACCAATCACAATGTTTTCCCATAGGATTGGCTGAGACTGTCAAGGAGGCAGATCAGTGGCAGTGCCAGCACAAGTCAAACACAGCCCTGGGCAATCAGCATTTACTCATAGAGATGTATTAAATCGATGCATCTCTATGAGGAAAGTTCAGTGTCTGCATGCAGAAAAGACAGTATTTACTGCAAAAAGCCTGGAGGGAATGATTCTACTCACCAGAACAAGTACACTAAGCTGTAGTTGTTTTGGTGATTTTTGGGGACTATAGTGTTGTTTAAATAAACAGGGCACTTGGCAAGTTAATAAATCAATCTTCTAGGTGGCTGGTAGATTAATGGAATGATTATAGCCTCAGCCTTTCCAATAATGTATGCAGGAAACAAAATCTAAATCATATAATCTATTAAAAAGTAAATTGCGAGCATCGTGTAATCTGCTATTACATGAATTGCTGTTACATACCTTAATTACATTCTGTATAAAACTTGTAGCCCCATGGAACTTGAGCAGCATAAGTGGAATAGGGGGTTGACAGGGGTTGAAGGCGGGCTTAGGGGGAGAACCGGGTGGGTGTGTCTGGCTGTTTGTCTGGGGGAGTGGCTTAGATAAATAGGCCGGCCATCTTAGCTCCTGTCACCATTAACTTCCCTAACAGTTTGGAGCTGGTCCCTCCCTCCCTCCGGTTGTTTTTGCCCCGCTTGGTCACAGCGGCGGGGTAGTTAGGGGGATATTCAGGGACAAATAGTCACGGGGGGGGGAGGGGGGAACCATGGAGGAATTAAGGAAGTTGTGGTTCCAGTTGGTTGGTGACAAAGTTGGTTATAAGGTTGGGTATAATGTTAGTTAAGTTGGGGGTTCGAGCCCGGCGGTGGCTTTGAACCTTGGTGGGGTAGGGGTGTCTGAGGTATACCCCTACCAGGAGGAAATTCCAGGTCATGGAATTTGGATGGGGTAAGGGTATCTCGATATGCCCTTACCAGGAGGAAATTTGGGGTAAGGGTATCTAGGTATGCACTTACAAGGAGGAAATATGGGGTAGGGGTGTCTGGGTATACCCCTACCAGGAGGCGTTGAATTATGTAAATATGTTTGGTATATATAATGTTATTTGGTATGTTAGTGTTTTATGGTTACATTATAATAAGCATATATTACATATGGGTCATTGCCTTATTATTATTACTGTTATTATTATTGTGATGTAATGGATACGGATGTTGATGTATGGTTGGGTGGGGGCGGGGCAATAACTTTTAAATTGTTTTAATATATGCACAATGTTTAATAAAGCTGTGGACATATTGTCCCATACCCCGGAGTAGGCTGGAATTATTTGGGAGTAGGGGAAAAGGGGATTATAAGTGCTTTAAAAGATTAACCATCTCCCCCTGCCCAGATGACGACATACACCGGTCATGTAGTAATAACTCAAGAGGACAGTACAACAAGGGTTTACCAGGCGTTCTAGTCAAATGTTTTATAACAACAACAAACATTTTCAACAAAATAAAAAGGGGGTACAAAAACACCAAAACAAAAAAAGAGGAAACCGCTTCCATCCACATATTCATAATTAAACAAGAGTTATTTTGAAAAATAAACAATTGTACGAATAACATAAGAAAGCAAATATGTATGCATTAAATGGTTAAAGTGTCAACTATTTAGTTTACCCAGTGTTCTAAGAATTGGCAGCCATTCCGCAGAGATAATGTTTAATTATGCAGAGATGTAGGTAGGCAGCAAGTGCTGAGCATTTCAGAAATACACTTGTAGCACTGACATTGATCCATGACTTAGCGTCATGAGGGTCACTAATGATTTTTTGAAGAATGTAGGAAAGATCTCTGCTTACTGTAGCTCCGTACAAAAATAGAGCTCGCAAATGAAATCGGAGTACAGCAGTTTATCAGACTTTTTTTTATTTTTATATTTTCTATTTATAACAGAAAAGGCAGAAAAAAAAAAAACCCCACAAACTAGTGTAAAGTGATTGTCCAGAATGTACAAACCGTCATATTTTATTGAATAACCATATAAGACCATTTGCACATCACATCCATAATAATATTTTTTACACTGTATATTATACATTATTGCTTTATTTTGTTTTTGTTCATTATTAGGGATAATTGTCTTGTTACATTGTATATTTTTGCATGTCATTTGTGTAAGTGGAATTTTATTTGTGATGTGTATTTATTAATAATGTGTAAACACAGCACACTGGTTAAAAACTCCTGCTGTAGAGAAAAACAAAAACTTTTTTTGTTGTAGGTGAAATCTCATGCCTTTTTGTTTTCAAATTTAAAAAGTGGTTGTTTTTTTTTGGGGGGGGGCAATTTCATAGAACTGTCAATTAAGATATAGAGGATTTGTCGGTAGCTGTCTTTTATTATGTGTACCCACTGTGGTGAGATGTTGAAATATTTGCTGCAGAAATGTCTCCATGTGCAACTTGTTCACTTATCTTCAGTCCTAATTTGTGTGTCAGACATCAGCACAACAAATCAGTCAAAGTCAGCTGGTAGAATTGTGATAAAAACAGCAATTATGGGTTGAATCTATGCTGAAGATGTGAATACCAGTTGATCCTGTCTTTTTTCTTTTTTTTTTCTTTAATCGCGAGGGACTTTCCATATGTTCCTTGAGATAAATATTTACTTATGTGTTCTGCACATAAAACTCTTAGTAATTCTCTTTTCATGCTTACGTAGAATTTTTCCAGTTATTTAATCAAATATGAGAAGCGTCAATTTGGACTGCGCAAAAAAAAAAAAACTGGTCACCCTGAAAAATGTTCTTGTTGCTTACTCCTGACCATTAGCTATTAACTCCTTCAAAATGTTTTAAACAAGTTATGATGGTATTTATTTGAAAAATAGGATGTATAGCTTGCCACAATATCCTAGGTCAAACAGCAGTTTAATCTACAGATTTCTGTTCAGGAATACTTTTCAAATGTTTAAGTATGTAATTGTACGATTTTATTTTTTCATTCGTTCATTACAGAAAAAAAAAAAGTGTTAACATTCATGTTGTAGCCCATGGAGCAGCACAGCTAAGTGGAATGGGCTTTGACATGGCTAGGAGACAGGCATAGGAGGTGTTTAGTGTGGGGGTTTGGCTAAAGAAAGTGGGGGTCGGGTTTTGGCTATGGGAGTATATATAGTGGACATTTTAGGTCAGGGGCCATCTTAATTTAATCCTCACTTGGCTGTTTTGTCCCACCCTCCATTTTTTATGGTTCTAGCTCCCGTTTGGTCGCGGCGGGGGATGGATAGACAAGTTGGGGTGTAGGTCATTTGTCCGGTTCTAAGAGAGTTTAGTTCACTAAGAAAAGTTAGGTTTGGAATGGTATTGGTTGGTTCGAGCTTGTTGGTAGCTCCGAACCTGGTGTGTGTAGGGTGTATCTTGATATACCCCTACATTGCGGAGTATGGTGGTTGGTTCGCGGTCGTGGGTGGCTCCGAATCTGGTGTGTGTAGGGTGTATATCAGGTATACATTGTGGAATAAAGTAAATCATGCCCGCCTCGGTGGCAATGGTTTATGTGGTTATATGTTAAATTATATGTTTGAATGTGGTATCATGGATTATTTATGTGGGTCATTGTCTGGGGTAGAATTGGTAAAGGACTTGGGGTTGATATGCAATGTTTAAGGATGTTGACAATTACCATTCTATAATTTGTATGTTTTATTTGATTATTAAAGCTGTGATAATTTTCCCAAAAATAAGGTGTCTGAGTATCCTTGAAGTTTTTGGGTTGCTAACGCATATGCTGAAAAGGCGAATATGCATATGTCATGCAATAATTGAGGCATTCTAAATAGTATAAAACCATAAATTCTGGTTTTTGTTGTGGTAGTTCAAAAATAGATAAATAACAAAACGGTATGATTTTTTTTTTTTCAGGAATGCAGCTTCCTATTAATGCCTCCATAATATAAAAAAATGTCTCTATTGTGGGCATATGTTACACCAGGTGTCTGTGCTATCTGGTATTTTGCAGGCTGCTATCTCGCGTTCACCTGATTTCATTTGGCTGTAAGAACATTGCCAAAGTGCTTATAGTTTTGATAGTTTTGTCAAGATGACGTGAGGTTATTGCTAACAGTTTTTTTTCTAGAGAATCTTAGTGAGGACGGGGAAAACAGGGCATTTCAGAATTGACAAGAAATTTGCAAGTTTTACAAAACTAGCAAAACTGTAACGTTCTATTGGTTGGCCGTTTTCCCTGCTTGCTGTAAATATTTAAATTCCACTGTAAATTTTCACATTTTAAAATTTAGTGAATACATTTTATTGAGTTTGTCACTTGGAGCTAGGACGGTTGTGTGCACAGCTGCTCAAAGAGTTGAATCATCCAGAAATTAAAATAGTGATTAAAATAGACAATTTTTATAGTTTCTGACTGACTGTTATTTTTCTTAATTTCGAGAATAAATGTTGACTCGAGTCTCCTTTTTGTTTTGTTTTTTCAGCCCTGCTATGTAAAAGTAAAAGAATGGGTTGCGCTTAATATGTCTTCAGTAAGAATTTTTGGTATCTGTATCCTAATTGTCCAGGTAAGTGAATTTTAACACGAGCTCCCTTATAGACCTCTGACCTGAGAGTAAAGTAATGCCCAAAATTTAGAATGCAATAACACTTGATCAAAGGTCAGCTTGTGAGAAATAGAACATGGAACAAATTTAAATATAGATCTAAAAGTTCTGAAACACATCTATTTTTCATTCCATTGCCCCAGGAAGTATGCATTATTTAGCATGCTGGGGCTGCCATTTGTACATTTTCTGTTCACTAAAACAATTACCCATCCAATCAGAATACATCTTTCCAATGTGCTAGTTGTTTCTTCTTGTCTCTCCTGCTTCCTCTAAAATGTAGAGCTTTGTACTGCGGTTTCATATAAATGTAATTTAAAGGAACACTATAGTCACCAAAACAACTCGTAGCTTAAAGGACCACTAAGCACCCAGACCACTTCAGCTCAATGAAGTGGTCTGGGTGCCAGGTCCCTCTAGTGTTAATCCTGCAGCTGAAAACATAGCAGTTTCAGAGAAACTGCCTCTAGTGGCAGTCTCACTGACAGCCGCTAGCGGTGATTCTGCGTTTCTCACTGTGAAAATCACAGTAAGAAGATGCTGGACGTCCATAGGAAAGCATTGAGAAATGTTTTCCTATGGGCGGTTTGAATGCGCGCCCAGAAATAATCAAGAGCCGCAATTAAATTTATTGGAGTATTCAACAGAACCCTCCGTGTATTTATAATCCCCCCCTAGCCCTTCTGTCTCATTCCCCCAGCCCCTCCATGAGTCTCATTCCCTTAGCCCCTCCATAAGTCTCACTCCCTTAGCCCCTCCATCTGTCTCATTCCCTTAGCCCCTCCATAAGTCTCATTCCCTTCTACTGGTCACGCTACAAGGAATAACAAGCTGTGAAATGCGCTCTCCTCCTGCTGGTCAGCCAGATCTGTAGATTTAATTTTAATCACACACAGGAAGCTCCTGCAAGGTCTTGCAAGCTATAGACCGTACAGGAGATAAGAAACTCTAAATAAAAAAGACTGTGTAAAAAAGTAAGTGTAAACATTAGATCTCTATTTACAGGAAGTGTTTAGGAGGGCTGTATAAGTCACATGCAGCAAGGTGTGACTAGAGCTGTATAAACAAAGTAATTTACCCAAAAGTGGCAAAGAATTGAGAAGTGAGACTGCAGGGGTTTAATCTGTAAACCAAAACAGCTTAGTTGAGCAAAATATATTGATCTTACTATAGTGTGCCTTTAATAATACCCAGACTAAGCTTGACACCTCCAGATGCAAATACAAAGTTATTTTGCATCTAATCTCAAATTGGGTTAAACATAAAACAGTGCTTAGGGGTAGAGGTCAACAAGGCATTTGTCCATGAATTTCTTCTCACCAGTCCTGAATTTTTACTTGCCAATGGGTAGTGGGAGAGTCGAAATTTTGAGCCTGGTGTTATATAAAGGATAATTGAATGTGCATATACATCTATATAATTTATGGTCACTGTCAAAAAAAGGTTAAGAACCACTACACTGGGACATGTTTATTGTTTCTAGATGTTATTTAATATTATATGTCTGTGTATTTTTTCCTCTTGTCATCACGCACAAAGCAACTACAGACACAAACAACACAAGCTCTGCAGTTCGAGGTATTGCTCTGCTATTCTACAGCAGAATTACGGAAAATGTATTCATACTTATCGTAATTTTCTTTTCCTGGCTATTTTTCATGGCAGCATTTAACATATGGGTTTAGCTCCTCCCTCTAACCCTCAGGACAGGAAACACAAACAATTAAACAATTAAGCATACCTTCCCCTGGTATAATAGGAACCCCATCAGCCATCACACCTCAGTCAAGTAACAAGACGAATATCCAAAAGAGGGTGGGAAAACCAAATGCTGCCATGAATAATAGCCAGGAAAAGAAAATAACGGTAAGAATGAATACATTTTCCGTATTCCTGGCTAATCATGGCAGCATTTAACATATGGGATTCCCCAAGCAATAATGGCACAGGGAGGGAAATACATGCTACAAAATACTTTAATAAATAAATCAGCTCTGAGGATTAAAGGAGTTCAGGACAGACAGGCCAAACTCCGAATCCGAGCGAGAAGCCACATCCACTTTGTAGTGTTTCACAAAGGTCTTAAGGGATGACCAATTTGCAGCCTTACATATGCTCTCTGCATGAACACCTGACTCTGCAGCCCATTAGGTAGCAATGGATCTTGTGGAGTGAGCTCTCATGCCTTTGTGAACAGGAACATTCCTAGCTTTTTAAACCTTGGAAATCACAGATACTGTCCAGGAACGAAGAGTGGAGACAGAAGCGGCTTCCCCTTTACAAGAACCCCAAGGTATAATAAATAATTGAGAGGATTTCCTCCAAGCAGCTGAGTGTACTATATACATCTGCAAACATCTACTAAGATCCAGCGTGTGACACCTTGACTCCTCAGGAGTGGAAGGATGCTGAAAATAGGCAGGCACGACAATCTCCTGTTGGAGATGGAAAGGTGTAACCACCTTGGGAAGAAATTGAGGTCTCGGGTGGAGAATGACCCTATCATCGAAGAAGGAAGTGTAAGGTTCCTCTGCTAATAAAGCTCTGATGTCAGACATCCTTCTAGCTGAGACTAGAGCCAGCAATAATAGGGTCTTCAGAGAAAGGATGTGCATCTGAATTTAGCCAATAGGTTCGAAGGGAGGATCTGTGAGAGCCTGAAGCACCAGAGGCAGATTCCAAGGAGCTGCCAGTTGTCTAATAGGAGGTCTAATACGTAAAACGGCCTTGAAAAAGCGAACCACCATAGGATGAAGCGCCCATCGAACGCCAGAAAGAGCAGGTAGCTGAGCAGTGCACTTTAAGGGTAAGACTAAGACCCTTCTCCAGGCCAGCTTGTAGGAAACCCAATACTTGAGAGATCATAGGAGGACTCATGTTCTGCACGGTTGAATTTAACCATATCGCAAAGGCTTCCAAAATTCTGTGGTAGGTAGAGGCAGGGGTGTATTAGCCGCGAGGCAAACAAGGCATTTGCCTTGTGCGGCATTTTTCAGAGGGCGGCAAAAAACGCCGCCCCCCAAATGCCCAGGGCAGATGCCTAGTTAGCCTCGCGGCTAACTGACATCCCGAGCGGGCGGGCGGCGCTGACAGGCGGGCGGCCGGCGAGGGAGCTCTTCCCCTGAGCTGACTGCTCAGCTCCCTCGCGCGCCGGCTGCAGAGTGAGGCTGGGAGCCGGGTTGATGACGTCATCTTCCGGCTCCCAGCCTCACTCTGCAGCCGGCGCGCGAGGGAGCTGAGCAGTCAGCTCAGGGGAAGAGCTCCCTCGCCGGCCGCCCGCCTGCCAGCGCCGCCCGCCCGACCTGCAGCCACTGGACCACCAGGGAGAGAGATCCCCCCCCCCAGCACTCCCAAAGGTAAGGAGGTTGGGGGGGATTTAGATTTAAAAAAAAAGTTAATGTGTGTGTGTGTGTCTGACTGTGTGTGTGTGTTTGTGCCTGACTCTGTGTGTGTTTGTGTCTGACTGTGTATGTGTGTGTGTTTGTGTCTGACTGTGTGTGTGTTTGTGTCTGTGTCTGACTGTGTGTGTGTTTGTGTCTGTGTCTGACTGTGTGTGTGTGTGTTTGTCTGTGTGTGTTTGTGTCTGTGTGTGTTTGTGTGTTTGTGTGTGTGTGTGTGTTTGTGTCTGACTGTGTGTGTGTGTGTCTGACTGTGTGTGTGTGTTTGTGTCTGACTGTGTATGTGTGTGTGTGTGTGTGTGTGTGTTTGTGTCTGACTGTGTATGTGTGTGTGTGTGTGTGTGTGTGTTTGTGTCTGACTGTGTGTGTGTGTGTGTCTGACTGTGTGTGTGTGTTTGTGTATGTGTCTGACTGTGTGTGTGTGTGTCTGACTGTGTGTGGATGTGTATTTAGAAGGTGGGGCGGGGGGAAGGGTTGGGTGGGGGTGGCGCTGGGGGAGGGGGGCGCCTGAGTTTTGTCCTGCCTAGGGCAGCACAAAACCAGGATACACCACTGGGTAGAGGAAGTGGAGATCTTTCTGGAACATAAAAGGGTAGAGACCACCTGATCCAATAAACCCTGTTCCTTTAAGGATTGCCTTTCAGAAGCCATGCATGAAGCCTGAGCTTGTAAGGTTCTGGATGAACCACTGGGCCTTGTGTCAGGAGATCTTCTGTGACCAGAATTTCCCAAGGTTCCTCTATCGCCAACCTCTTCAGAAGAGGAAACCAAGGACGTCTCGGCCAGAAGGGTATTACAGTAATCACTCTGCAACGTTGTCTGGAAATCTTCCTCAGCACAGTATGAATGAGAGGAATGGAGGGAAAAACATACGCCAGATGAAAGGGCCATTTCATTGAAAGAGCATCTTGATCCAGTGCTTTCGGATGGAATTTTTTGGATACAAAACAAGGGACTTGAGCATTCTGAGCCGTCGCCATGAGAACCACTTGGGGAAGACCCCACCTCTGGACCAATTGTTGAAACACAGGCCTTGAAAGATGCCATTCCGTGGCTTCCACCTGGTGTCTGCTGAGGAAGTCTGCCAACACATTCTCCTTTCCTGGGAGAAAGACTGAGGTTAGATGGCTGATGGGGTTCCTATTATACCAGGGGAAGGTATGCTTAATTGTTTGTTTCCTGTCCTGAGGGTTAGAGGGAGGAGCTAAACCCATATGTTAAATGCTGCCATGAATAATAGCCAGGAAAAGTTGTTATACCAGCAGTTTTCTAGATTGCTTTCACGTGTGTACGAGCATTTACAGTGCTTTCCCCAGATCAACAAGTGTGTTATACAAAGCTATGCTCAAGCTAATTGCCTGTCTCATTCCGCCAACATTGACTTCCCTAGAAGTCAGGCACCAGTCGGAGGAGGGTAAAGGAGGTGGGCCAGTGACAAAGTGTAGATCGAAGTCTAGCAGCACCCCATTTGTCCAAGGGTCCATGAGTAGGATTGAGGCAAATTTATTATCGCCCTGTGTCTGTTGTATTGGAAATCTATAAAACTAAGCTCCTTCACCTGACCATCATAACTTCCACAATCTTTTTCTCTTTTGTTCCACACATAGGTCTTTGGTCTGGTCTTCTCTATGCTGATGTATTGCCAGGTCCTGAAGGCTGAGAAATATTATGAATGAGTCCACCGTCCTTCAAGGAGCCATATAAACTATCTCTGTCTGCTGTTTTTACATGTCCATTGTGAGAACCCACTAAGAATGGCCATTCTGACTACTTACCCAGGAACGCCAAGCCGCCATTAATTCTTCTAACAGCAGATGAACTTGTATCTTCTAATTCTTTCAGCCAGTCTCTGCACTATCACTGTGGCCTCCAGACTCTGACTACGCCAGCTTGAGCAGGTATTCAGAATTTGGCTCCAACGTTTTTTTCTTACATATGTAAATTTGAAGAAGTTGTTTCACAGATGAAGAACTAACTTTAAGCCATAAACAAGATGCTTTTTGGCTTTCTTCAGATCTGTTGCCCAATGAGGACATTCCAGGGATAAAACTCAATACATTGCATACCCGACCTCGAGACCTCAAGGAGGCCAGCCAGAAATAACACATTAGAGACTGTTCGCAGTAAACACAGATGTAGAAATAGCCGAGCATCTTCTGAGAATAGCAAAACAACCTTGTGACCGGATTCTGATACTCAACCAGGAGAGCTTCGGTTCCCAAATTTTTTGACCTGACGCATGCAGACAAGGCATTCTGGAGCATGTGTTCCCCAGTAAGTGGAGAGCCACTATTTGAATTGTATGGGACATTTATGCCTTTTATTCTAAAAAAGGAGTGAATTCTAAACTGCCATGTCACAACTTTACAATCCAATACAAATTTCCTTTTTTAGCTAGTGAGTTCTGATAAATATTGAAAGGTTTGTCAAAAAAGCACAGTTTAGAATTGTTCTTTCTAGAATCTACTTTTATGTTACATGTCACAAAAATCATAGGATGTATCTCAGCTTATATTGTTATAATACATTTTCTACAAAGCACAGAAAGGGTCCATGCTCCTGGGAGTCACGAGAAAAGCACATAGGGTCAATAAATAAGCATTATGTAATATTAATTCCTTACGCTGTCCTATGTTACTGTATGCAAATGTTTTAAGCTTACTTATGCTAAGCTTTCATTATTTAGAGATTTAAAAGCTATAGGTCTAATATCTGATAGGAAACAGATTACAATTACTTTTATGGCGCTTACATATTCCGCAGCGCTGTACAATAGATAAACAAGACAAAAGTTTAATTCTATGACATGAGCTTACAATGTAAAGGATCTGCAGGGTTTATTTTTCTTAGTATTATTTAAAGCCTTCTTCATGTAACATGACAGTCGTGTTGTGCTTCGAGGGAACCTTTCATTATTCATTTTTGGTTTATGTTTGTGTGATAATGTTCCAAGCAATGCAATAGCAGATCTTGGTCCTTCGTTTGGACCTAACATTGGTCCCCATGTAATTTTCATGAGTCCCTTTTTGCAAGAACGGGACATTATATTCATCTGGTCCCAAGCAACTATCCCAGAAAAGAGCTGTACAATTGATAAAGGAAGTAAAATAAAAGGACATTCTAAGTACCAAAACCACTACATCTTAATGTAGAGGTTTTGATGTATAGATGCTGTGCTTTTTCTCTGAAAATGTAAAACATTACCGTTTCTCAAAAAAGACCGTATTTACATTTGGCTGAAAACACGCCTGTAGTGGCTGTCAACCACCCCACTAGAGGTGCTTTCTCCTTACATCACTTGTTTTTTAAGGACTTTAAGCTTGGCAGCAACAAGTCAGCATGATGATGCTAAATGTGTCTAATGCTGACACATTAGTATAGGAGTATAGGAACGGAGTGACTGAAGTTAGTCTGTTCAGATGCTTTAGCACTGGCAATGAAGCCAGTGTGTTGGCATCACGGAGTAGGGTTACCTTGCTTGGGAAAGTGTCATATGCAAAGCCAATCTGTTCAAACCAGGGTGCAGGACAAACCAATAATCCGATGATGGTTTTACAGTAATATAACACCCATTTAGCTGTGGACATGGCAGTGCTGGGCTGAACCTTACATAGAATATATAATTTATCTGTATGATAAATAATATATTCAGTGCCTTCAGGAGCAATGTCGGTTAAAACGAACCTATCGCTAGAGTTTCACGTTAAGCTAGAGAAAGCTCTCGCTAAGGTCCAAACCTTTTTTAGACCATCCAATAAAATATCCTTTGTGTTGGCGGTACTTCAAACAGGTACTCACCTGATTTCAATGATCATTTCAATTTAATTATTGTCTCAAGAGCCTCAAAAGTGCTTTTGCCATTGCTAAACGAAATCTAAACCCCTTTTCTCAATTAAAGTTAATTACAATCATTTACAATACAATTCAACCTGTAACAGCATTAAAGGACCACTTTAGACACCCAGACCACTTCAGCTTAATGAAGTGGTCTGGGTGCCAGATCCCTCTAGGGTTAACCCTTTTTTTCATAAACATGGCAGTTTCAGAGAAACTGCTATGTTTATGAATGGGTTAAGCCTTCCCCTATTTCCTCTAGTGGCTGTCTCATTGACAGCCACTAGAGGCGCTTGCGTGCTTCTCACTGTGATTTTAACAGTGAGAGCACGCCAGCGTCCATAGGAAAGCATTGTAAATGCTTTCCTATGCGACGGGCTGAGCATTGTAAATGCTTTCCTATGCGACGGGCTGAATGCGCGCGCAGCTCTTGCCGCGCGTGCGCATTCAGCCCAGAAGGAGGAGAGCTCCCCGCCCAGCACTGGAAAAAGGTAAGTTTTAACCCTTTTCCCCTTTCCAGAGCCGGGCGGGAGGGGGACCCTGAGGGTGGGGGCACCCTCAGGGCACTATAGTGCCAGGAAAACGAGTATGTTTTCCTGGCACTATAGTGGTCCTTTAAGGAAATAAGACACAGAAGCCTAGCTGTTTGTTCACAAAGGATTGAACAGTATACCAGGTCTCTGTTGCACCAGACTACATTTCACAAAAGAGAACATCAGCCATCTGGAATGTAAGGAAAAGCCCCCCTTTGATAGGAAGCAGTGTGATACAGTCAGACGTCGATTTCGGCAAAATCATGTTACTGCTTTATTGCCGCTTGATTCAAGACCGTTTCTTTTGTTTCCAAAGCTTCTTACGGTCTTTAGAAAGATCAGATGTCCTCTACCTTCCTAGAAGTTTCACTAGATATTTTTATCGAGTCAGCACGAAAGGTTTAAGAAGGTATAATAATATCCTGAATATTGCAGTGAACACTTTATTTTTACTGTGCAAATTGTGTTGCTGAAGTTGTTCGAAGCATCGCATGATGGACTGTTTCAGTTCTGAACCACTCAGTACTCACAAGTTGTGCTGATACAGACCAGTTTGAGAAACGACTGAATTTACACATAGCTGTAACAAGTCCGTTTATTACCGAATTTTCTCATCCTGCTCGATTAATCAACTTAATTCGGATTTCCTGGTGTCCTGATCTATCATCCTTTACTACGGAGCTATGGGCTGGATCAAGCATACCTATTATATACAACACCAGTGTTTTATGACTTTTTCCCAACTGTAACTAGCTTAGAGTGTAAATATTAGATGTAACTGAACACAAAGTATACTCTGTATTGTGTTTAAATACCAATAAATACTGTATTATTCACCTTTTGTGTCCTTTACAGCCAGATTCCTACTGGAGTGCCTATACTAGTGCAGCGATGGATTATTATATTTAGACCTAAGCTGTTACAAGGATTACAGTTCCTTCATAGACTGGCCAAGCATCTTTTAAACTAGTTCCGAACATATGAACATCATGGCTAGCCGTTACAGTTCTAGAATGATAACATTCCAATTTTTTATTAATTAAATTTTTATTTGCACGCGTGTTATACAGAGGTGATAAATTATATTAAAAAAAATATTTGGTGTCAACAATATTGTCATTGTATATTCATCACACACACAAACATTAAAGGGACACTATAGTCACCAAAACAACTTTAGCTTAATGAAGCAGTTTTGGTGTATAGATCATGCCCCTGCAGTCTCACTGCTCAATTATCTGCCATTCAGGAGTTAAATCACTCTGTTTATACAGCCCTAATCACACCTCCCTGCAAGTGACTTGCACAGCCTTCCAAAAACTTCCTGTAAAGAGTCATCTAATGTTTACACTTCCTTTTTTTGTAAGTTCTGTTTAATTTAGAATTTATTATATCCTGGTCTGTTAATAGCTCGCAAGACCCTGCAGAAGGCTACTGTATTTAATAAAAGTTCAATTTACAAAGCAGGAGATAAAACCATTTAAGGTAAGTTTCATCTGATTGCAAACATTCATTTTGTTTCCATTCAATCACAGCCGGGGGTGTGTGGCTAGAGCTGCATAAACAGAAACACAAGTAATTTAACTCCTAAATGGCAGATAATTGAGCAATGAGACTGCATGGGGCATTAACTATACACCAAAACAGTCTCATTAGGCTGAAGTTGTTTCGGTTACTAAAGTGTCTGTACAATAAATGCAGATCGTTAGATATGCAGATATAAACACATATGCTAACTTGTTTGAGTTAGTTTACTAACAGATTAAGCTACTTTTTAAAAAGTTAACATTTAGGATACTTAAAGCCCCAAACTGATCTTTCAGCTGTTTCTTGGTTTGGGCTGTTACTTGAAAGGCAAGAGTCTTTATTACTTTTGTCACAATTTTGTTTTGCATTCTTTTTTTTTGTCATGCAGTGATATAACCTTTAGAGTTGGATATACATGTCACACACATTGGGTTAAAGCAAGAAAGGTGATGAGAATTTAGTTTAACATGTATAGAGCGCTGCATTTTTTGTATTCTAAGATGGTGCGATTCATGTTAGGCAATCATGTCTCTGCGTGGAAGTAACATACTGTCATGAAATAATTTTAAGACATGGTGGTCCGACAACTTCTTCCCACGGACTTTGGGTCTGCAACAGTCCAAGTCCCTCCCAGGTTGGGTATAGGCAGGGGCCCTGATGGTCTGCTTTCAGAATTACTTGTATAATTGGCGTCAGATTGTGCCCATGATTAAGGGGGACCTTAGCCATTTTGTCGGTAGGAGTGCGTTCCGAGGTGAGGTGAGTGCAGCAGTAAGGAGTGCCCTCACCTAGGCCCCCGGTGTACTTAGCCAGAGAATCTGAGGCTGGTACACCATAGGCATTTCTTGGGTGGCGGGGGTTCCCTGGGAGCTGAAGACCTGGATTGCGGGGCTCTTTAACCTCAGATGTCTATTGTTCGAGTGGGGGCTGGATTACATTTTTTATTTTGTTTAATTATTTCCAATTTACATCAGGCAGTTGCTTCTCAAAGCAGCTATATTTCTAATATAAAATCCAGTAGCACAGTTTTCGGTCAGCCTATTTAGGAATATGGATGGTGGCTGATTGGGGTTGCTGGTTAATAGATCTCTGCTGTACACCCCTCTATTAGTCAGGTAGTGAGGCGGATTGCATTAAATACCTGGCTGTACAGCATGCACACGCTGTTCGTGGGTGGAGAGGCATGGATATGTCATGCCATATTCCCACCTCTCTTTTAGTGTTGGTGTACATAATGAAATTAAAAAAAAAAAAAAACAGTATTACATACCAGAAGCAATGATACGACTAAAAAACACAATAACCCTCCAACATTTCTTTTAAAATGCCCTTCTCAACAACTTTAGAAAGGCTGAGCTTTTTATCATACCGAGAACTGAACATGTAACTTTGATATTACATCACTGGAGCACTAACCACTGAGCTATCTTACTGGCTATATGGGATATCATACAGACAAGGGTATTCTAAGTATTCTACATTTTTACAGTAGACGGAAGTAGTGTGCATCAGAATGCTTTCACTCAGTACTTTGAAATAATATTTACTCATAAATAATTGAGGTTTTGGATGAACCATTCCTGAATTTTTTGAATTGGTAACAGGCCGACATAACAAGGAAACGGACACATAGCTCTGGAAAGTAATGGATGAGTGGTAAATGATTGCCTGTGTGTTGGGGGGTTGGGGATGCATAGACAGTGTCAGCATGACAGATTGTAGCTACATCATTGATTAGTGGAAACCTCAAGACTTGGCAGAATAATTGCCCTGCAGGATTGAGATACAAAGCTCGATCCTCTGGAGGTTGCAAAGAACTGTTATCTGGATAAACGTTGCAAATGGCAGACGTTTAAATTTAAAAAAATCAGTGCACAACCACAATTATGGGTATTAATGTCACAAGGGTGAACATGTGCTTTTACATTAACTGCATCACTCATCCATATAAATCCTACATTATTAGCATTAGAATTCTATAAACAGATGTGTTAATAAGGAACCGTACAGAAACGGTGCTTGGGCTTACGTTTTTGTTCAATAGAAATTGATCCCCCAAGCACCCCATGGGAGACTAATTTGTTCTTCTTGGTATTAACCTCAAGTGCAATAAAATATACTGAATCTATGTTAATACAGATGCTGTCAAATGCAGACGTTCACTTAGCAACTAGCCTACAATTCAATGTTCTACGTTCACCAGGATCAATGAGGGGAGATTGCAGCTTTAACTCCTTGGGTGTTGGAGGGACTTGTGATTTAATCAATCAGGACTAATTAGCAACCTACAGAAAATAAATCTGTAAAAGGCTACGTCGCAGGAACGCAAATATCACTGCTCCAATTCTACACTGAGGTATGTGAAAGTTTTGATCACATAAAACAGAGGTATTTATAGAGTCTTCAAGGCCAACCAAACGGTCCAGGCTTTGTCAGTATTTCCACAGAACAGAAATAGGGAATGTCTTTTCCTTGACGGCAGAGTTGGGAACCACTGACACGGAAGGGTGAAGAATACCCAATTGTTGGGTTCTCTTCATTGGCAAGCCAGCTCAGTGGAAATTTGCAAGACTCAATTTGGCATTGAGGTACTAGTAGAATGCTAATAGAACATTTGAAATGTTCTAATGTAACTTGCATCTGTGCAATAGTGCTAAACAGGGTCTATAAAGAATCTGCTGAGTTTGCGGAATCTACCACAGATAAATGAATGCTTACAAACTACAGTGCCATAGGAATCTATTGTACACTGTGCAAATTGATACTTGTTCCTGTCAGTTGTTTAGACTATCGACTGATGGGATATGGCAGGATGTGGCCATACATTTCTGCAGTTATATGAAACAAAGTAGTTCCCGCGCTGTCACAATGTATACCTTGATTGTTTTGTCAAATTTTAACACAGTCAACTAAACGTCTTCATGAATATATCTTTTGAAAAGCTTAAAAGTGATGGTGAACCTTTAAAGCCCCCTAAAAATTATATATATATATATATATATATATATATATATATATATATATAGTTTGTTAAACAAGAGCAAAGAGAAAGTAGATGTTATACCATCAGAGCCGGATTACCAATAAGATGGTATAGGCGGCTGCCTAGAGCCAGGGACTGCAGTTCTGTATGTGTGGGGCAGGACTGTATTAACATAGCTCAAGGCCTATCCTGTTGTCACAGGCTCACACTATTGGCTAACCTGTCAATCTTGTGGTTGTCCCCTCCCTCTCCTCGGATTAGGTTCTGGGTGAGTAGACTAGGGCTAGCCCTCTGATGTCATAAGGGGATGGGCATGCTGCGGGGGGGGGGCTGCAGACAGGAGAGACTTACAGCTCCCCCATACTAAATCAGGAAAATAACTAATACACTTTTACTCACTACAACTACATGTCCCCTCTGTCGTGTGAATCCCATCACGACAGGTTCGCTCCAGGTGGAGAATCACATGAGTCCAGACCAAATATTGTGATATGTCTCATCCAAAGTAAAACCAAAACTCAGTATGGAAAGTGAGTTCTGAGAATTGGGCAAAGATTTATATACCTACTAAAATATGTGTAATTACCGATAAAGGATGGTCTTAAATACCAAAAATCCCCAAAATTGCATAACAAAGAGGATGTGAAAATTAACTTAATCTATCTGGATCAAGACTAGACCACAGAGTTATTCCAACCATTAATATGTGACGTTCGCCACATATTTTGATTTAGCATAGTGTACGTGACAGGTGCGTCTTCGTGGTATGGAAATTCTTGTTATCAAAATGGTCTTTTGCTTTGTTAGTAATCAAACTGCTAATAAATACTAGAACAGCAGAAATATATTATTACACCTCCATTTTAAGGCTCGTCTGCTGTTATCTACAGCTGCCATCGCGCTAAGCCTGAATCTGGCTGGGTTTGATGAGAGTTTCAAACCAAAGGAGGCGTATATACAGGTTCAGGATCCCCACCGGCAGCTTCAAAGCTTGTTGCTGGAGTTCTGGCAGTAAGATGTTCAAACCAAGGTTTTCAGCTCCACTTTATTTTATCAATATGTTTATCTCATGTCTGGTAACAGCAGACAGACGCTCTGTAGCAAAATAGGTTATTGCTCAGCAGACACAGTAATCCCCATCAAAACAAATTACAAAAGCCTTCTTTCAAACAGCATGTGGCCGTCACATGGAAAGTTTATAGGGTCCTGTGCTCCCGCTATTGTGAAAGGCTCACAATGCTTAGTCTGATACTCGCAGGTTTATGGACTCTAAGTCTAAACACCACATTCAGCCGTGATCACCCTGACGGCTCTGGCTCTTTAGATGAATACGGTGCAGTCAAACATCGAGATGGTCAAATTCCAACGATACCTCCAATCTTCTAAATATTTTTTTTTCATGCTCCTATAATATACAAAAATTCCCATAATATCCAAAATGACGTAACGGTGACTTGTGTAGATAGATCATTTGAAAATAGTTTCTAACACATTGTGATCATTTGAAATGCTTATCCAAAAATATTAAATCATGGCCAAAGTTGCAAAAATGATAAAGTATTGTGGAACAGATCTCCTTGACACCATTATATTAAAATAATTTTAAATGTGGGTTGTATACTTCGTACTCCAAAGCCCACCTCTTACCTGCACGTACGTTAAAAGAAAACCTACCTTAACTCGCTTGACTCCAGAACTAGGGGAGCTGGAGAGAACATACTGCCAAAAATTTCAACGGACCATAGACATTTTTTACCTAGGAGTTTGGGAGATGTGGTTTGAGGTATGGTCAGTTGTTAGGTCTATTCTGGGGACATTTAGAGAGATACTCCGCTTACTGCTAGCCCATTATGAGATTATTATCATTCAGCATAGTACACATTTTTTTTTATTAACACAAACCAATATCTACACTACTCTGCAGTTTCAAACACATAGTTGCATTTTACAGCTGTGAAACTTGATGTTACTCTCAGAGAAGTTTTGAAAAGCATGACTGCTGACTCGTTCGATCGCCAACTCCCATTACCCTTCCACTCCCAATAAGTAACGCAACACCATGTTAAGTGGGTAAGGGCAACGGCCACAGCTTTATTTAAACCAGCATAACGAAATACTGTCAGCTGCTTGTTTTACCCAGGAGACAGGTACACTTTAAACTTCTTCCAGTGCCTCTTCAGCCTGTCCTTCGTCATCATCCAAATTCAGACTGCGACTCCCCCATCCTGTCCAGGCATTTTTCAGTTACCAAACTTGCTCGTGCAGGAAACCTGCAGCTGTGACAAAATTAAAAACAAATGAGACAAAGATAACAATTCCAGAACAGAACCATTGGGTGGGGGGGGTTAAAGACACTGCCAGGCTCCCTCAGCATTGTTGACTAGTAGTCTGGTAATCTTTCCAAAATTCCCTGCTTCTAACTGTATCCATTTGGTTGCTGTGCCAAACCCTCAGGGCAGTAGTGATGCTCCCTTCTCTCTATTTGCTCTGGGGGTTGGCCTAGACATAAGTTTCCTAAGAGATAGCTTTGGCAATGTAACCTCAGAATTTAATGTCATAAGCAGTCATGGTTACTTGTTCGACTAAGTTCAAGAAATCTTGGCTCTGTAAAGAGTGGATTCTATATCTTTCCTGCTCTTACTATTGTAATGTCATACCTCTTACCTTCTCATTATTCTCCCACTTATTTTTAATAGTATTATTTGTAAAGCGCCAACAAGTTCCGCTGCACTGTACAGCACCTCCTACAGCACAGAGCACCATGTTGCTCCTTTAAGATAAGGATAACCATTGCTAACACGAACCATTTGTATATAAGATTTCATATACTTTGAATGCTGCTCCCCCCTGATATAAGATCTTTATTTGTTTGCTGTCAAGAGGCGTCTGAAAGAATCTGCTTGGATTTGACCCTTGAGTCACTTAGGAACACACTGCAAGAGTTACACAACGGTCTTGTTGAGTTTGTGTTAAATGTTTTTTTTTTTTTAAATAAAATATAAAGATGAGTTAAATACGGCATAAATGAAAATCGAGACTTCATTGAATCTGCATTCTGTTTTTTTTTTTATATAGGTAGACGCAGGAAGCCATTTCAAACCTCCGATAAAGCTCACTGTGTAGCAGCGGTAAATTACCCTTAGCGGTAAGAGAATGTTTTGTGAAGCTTTTATTTCTGTTTAGCTAATGGAGCAGAGCAGTCAACACAAAACGGGGTCCATGAGCAGAATCCATATATTCGGCACAGTGGCAGCAATTAGCTTTTTTTATTTTTTTATTCTGTAAGTTTGAATAAAGTCGAATTCTCAAGAAGTCTAGAATTAATTTGGCTTCTTTCAGCTCTAGAAAAGGAAAGGATAAAACTTAAAAGGATACTGTAGTGTCAGGAATACAACGCTGAATACAATCTCTCTTTCTACCCCATCCCACGTGCCCCCTCCTACCTGGTAAATAAAGGGTTAAAAAAAACCTTTATTTACTTACCTGAACCCAGCGCTGATTGTAAGCCTATTGTTAAAGATGATTAAAGAAAATTGACAGGGCTATTCACAAATAAAAAAACAATTCAAATTGACTTGGCCAAAGTAACAAAACTGAAAGCATAGTTGACTTTTTTACAGTTCAACTCTTTTGATCTTAAATTTGAAATTCACTTTCGGACATCTTTGCATGTTTCGCAAAGACCACCAAAAGTGTCAGATCCAGTGTGGGTCTGTTAGACTTTGGGTGCAGGGGAAAGTAGGGTCTGCTTACGTCAAGCTGTCCCTCGAGACCGCCATCTTCCTCCTGCTAGTCCCCTTTAGCTCCTGGCCCTTCATTTGCCAGGAGCTGCGTCAATGCTCTACTTTTGCGCATGCACAAGAATACAACACTGAGGTCTATGGAGGATCCCGCGAGACCATGTGAACCTCCATAGACAATGCCTGAACCCCGCAGGCCTCACTAGTGATGGTTGCTGCAATTTACAAAATTTGACAACGCAGCTTCACCTTTTGTCAACTTCAAGCTTATTCATAAGCCCGCATTTCAGCGAAAGTCCAACTCAGATGGTTATTCGCTAAAGGGAGAATTCAAAGTACGTTTCAAATTTAAGGTCGAAACAGTCAAACTGTAAAAATTCTGAGTCAGCTGTAATTTCAGTTCAATTACTATGGCCTTAAATTTGAAATTTGCTTTGAATCCTCCCTTTAGTAATTGACCCTTAAAGTCTGGATTAGTATTTCATAAGGAGTATATCTTTATGAAATACTGAAAAGTGACAGATCCATTTTAAAGGTACAGTATAGGCACCCAGGCCACTTATCTCATAGACATGGTCTGGGTGTAATGTCCCTGTCTCCTTAACACAGAGGAACTCAGTGTTTATATTGCAGAGTTAAGACTGCCTCTAGTGGCTGTGTACAGGGCCGGACTGGGGATTCCAAAGCAGCCCTGGAAAAAAAAAATCTATGCCAGCCCCATAAGTCATTGCGCCATATATTGTCGCATGTAATATGTAAGGCTATGTCTTGCCACCCTAGATGATTGATATATTGCTTTTTCCAATATAAAATATTGGTCGTTTCAGAGTAAAATTTTTAATTATACAGTGAGCATACTCACATGCAGACACAGACAATCTCACTGCCACAAGCTGATTGATACACAGCCTCATAGACAAACAATCTCACTGATATACATAAGGTAATTGACATAAAAACACAAGCTCACTTAGTAGCAGGCACACACACACACACACACACAAGCAAGCCCACTCACTAGCAGGTGCGCACACACACACAGCTTAATGTAGTGGCTCTGGTGTCTATAGCCTGTCCCTGCAGGCTTTTCAATGTAAACACTGACTTTTTAGAGAAAAGGCAGTGTTTACATTGCTTCCTAGTGACAGACACTCAGACGGTCACTAGAGGTGCTTCCTGTGTCAGTGCGGATTGGCTGAGATCATCAAGCTTGATGATCTCAGCCATAGAGGCAGGGCCAGTCGAGGGGAGACCAGCACGACGTGGGGAAAAAAAAAGGTGAGTAAAAACACACATACACACACATATACCATGACAGACACACACACACCGTGACACAGACACACCATGACACAGACACACACACACACACACCATGACAGAGACACACACATACCATGACACACACCTTAACAAAAGACACACACACACACACACATTGACACACACACCATAACACAGACAGACCGTGACACAGACAGACACACACTGTGACACACACACATTACATGACACAGACAGACACACAGACACACACACCCCACGGCACAGAGAGACCGTGACACGGACACACATTACATGACAGTCACACACACACACACATTGCATGACACAGACAGACACACACACCATGACAGACAGAGACACACACACACCACGACACACAGACAGACACACACCACGACACAGAGAGACCGTGACACAGACACACATTACATGACAGACACACACACACCATGACAGACAGAGACACGCACACACAATGACACACACACACAATGACACAGACAGACACACACAATGACACACACAATGACACAGACAGACACACACACACACCATGACAGACACACACACATACACTAATACTGACACACATAATTGCTACCTGTGTGCTGGCGACCGCATGTGGAGCTCTGATGGCGGCCACATGGGGGAGCTGGCTCTTGTGGCGGCCGCAGAGGGAGCCGCAGGGGGAGAAGAGGCTGTTCTGTCTCTTCTCCCCCGCCCCAGAGCGCAGCTTAATGAGAGCGGGGCCGCCAACGGCCCACCGGGAAATTTCCGGTATCCCGGTGGGCAGTCCGGCCCTGGCTGTGTACCAGACAGCCACTAGAGGTACTTCTTGCTGTTTCATGAAGTTTAACTCAGTGGACATCCAGCGTCTTTAAACGCCCCATAGGAAAGCATATATTCAACTTCTCTTGCTAAAAGTGCTGATTTCAAGAGATCGTCACGTTTATGAACTAACAAAATAGCACCCCCTCAGGTGTCAAAACAGCCAGGACGGTGCTCTTTCAGATTGCATTGCAAATGGGCGTAAAGCAAACATTCTAAGTACTTTAGGGTGATACTGTAATGGTTGCGCATGCGCCCTGCATCCTTAAGCTTGTCTATGAGAACCATCAAACTGGCAAGGAGATTGTCTGTACTGATGATCTCCCGGAGGCATTTATTAAAATTAAATGCATTTATTTATAACACTGGAGTGTTCTTTCAAAGAAAAGGAATGTTTTATATAATACCAGTTACATCCACCAGATGGCACCAATCCAGTAAATAAGAATGCCTATTACACACTATATTGATGGACAGTTTAACGTTTTATTCGACTGAGTACAATAAGATGTTTAAAGTCCCAAGAATATTGTGTGTAATATGCATTGTTATTATTAGTATACATTTATCACTCCTCTCATTGATTGCACCATTGTTTACGTACGTTGGAAAACATCCCCACCAGCCTGGCTGTCTGCAAGAAGTAAGTTTTAACAAGAAAAAATGCATATCTCATTATTTCAGATGGATCTTGCTCAACACAGAAATTGAGGATTAAATTAATCTAATTATTTTCAGGGCCAGATTTACATATTCGCACCTGCAAGGCACAGAATACTCAATTCCTCCCCTCTAAAAAATTCTTAGTTGACAGCAATTCTTGATTTGGCAAATAATGCTTTAATTCATGCTCATCACTACTAGCCCCACTCACACCCACTATTGACCCACCCGGTCAAATACAACCAATACTGTCACATGCACACATTACCCAGAGGTTCACAGTGACAGATTACAGTCACATATTACGTATTATACATATGGTGTCTCGCACACATGTTTACGCATAAGGCACAGAGATATGGTAGGCGACCGGAGGTTATACATTCTTAGGATACTCGAGCCAAAGGGGTCTGCAATGGGGAGAGATTAATTTCACCACAGCCCCGTGAGGCACCAAAAAAAATCTAAATGCCACTGACCATTGGATCACCCCTGGTAATGTGTGTGACAGTGACGTACACACAATACACGGGGCCCCGGTGCGAAACTGATCTATGGGCCCCCCCGACACATACATATAGACACAGACATACATAGATGCACACACATACATACAGACACACACATACATACACACAGACAGATACATACAGACACACACACATACACCCCCCGACAGACACATACATACTCACACGCACCCCCGACAGACACATACATACACACACGCACCCCCGACATATATATACACAGACACATACACACACATACAGAGACACACACACATACAGTCTGTATGTGTGTGTCTGCGTCTCTGTATGCATGTCTGTCTGTGTTTATGTCTGTGTCTGTATGTGTGTGTGCGGTGTGACACATACACATATACAGACACAAACACATACAGACACACACACACACACACACACACAGACACATACAAAATGTATCCTACCTTTTGCAGGAGGGTGACTTCCCTGGGGTCCAGTGTGGGCTCAGCCTGAAAAGAGTCAGAGTTCCCACTCTGACTCCCTCCTCCTTCCTCACGCGCAGCTGTCTGATAGCTGGGTGGAGTGATGTCCAGTCACTTCCTCCCAGCTATGTCTGATATCACAGGGGACATGGTCTCACTGTTAAAGCGCTCAGCACTGACCGGGCCGCCTGACAATCCATCTCCTTTGGGTAGACCCCTTGGACAGCGGCACCGGCGGTTTACCGCGTGGGCCGGGGCCGCAAAAGATGCGGGCGGGTACCCGGTCGAAGAGGTCCACAGGGTGGCCAGGCCCCCTGGAGTGACCCCTGCGACTGTATGTATGCCAGTGGTGTGTGATATTATTTATAAATAGAGAATGTATTTTTGTGTGGGGTGTGTATTGCAGAGTTTAAGCCACTGCCAATCCCCTTTTTGTGTGTTTATATAAACATGAATGTACATAAACAAGGTGGCCATTATGGCCGCTGTATTCTGAAATGTGGCATGCCAGGGGTGGTTCTGTTACAGAGATCCCAGCTCTCATCTAGACCTCTCGGAATTAGCAATAGGTTTTCATCAGTGGAGGTTTGTGTCATTGCTGTCTGGGACGAATTGGACTTCAAGGAGATGGAAATGCACTGTGGAGCTAAATGTCCCTATTGGACCCTAGAGATACCACTGTGGGCAGCAGGGGATAGCTATTTTAATTATGCATTTAAAAAAAAATTTATAGTGGCAGAGTAGGAGTATTATAACCTCTGTGAATGTCAGTGCATCTCCAGGGATCACCTGGACTGTAAGGAAGGGGAAGCATGACTGCTGCCCTACAGTAAGGAGTGAGATAGAGTGGGATACTATGTTGCAGAGATGGGATGAATAAGAAGGGGTGTAGAGGGGAGGGTACTCACCATTCGCAGAAGGAAAGGCTGCAACAGGATTTTCCCTTTATCCCTTCTGCTGTTAAAAAAACCCAACGATAATTTAGAGTTAGCTTAGGGCCTGTGTACTTACCTGAGAATTTGGCCCCCTTCTTCAAGATAGCTGCTGTGTCCAAAAATGCGCTGATTGGGATGCTACAGACTCACCTGGCTTCCAATGGAGCGGGTTCCCTGTCGGAGCTGATGGCCTGTCTTCCCCAGGAGCTGATGGGAGCGGAGCAGCAGGTAACGGAGAGTCCCTATCTGGCCAGTGGTAGGAGGCCGAGACAGTCCAGGCCTCCTACTCGCCTTTCAAGGAGTCCAGTTCGACAGAGCAGCAAAGCAGAGGTCGGGACGAGCAGGAGGCAGTCGGCACTCGGCAGCGGAGTGGTGAGCAGAGGATCCCTGGCTTCCAGAAGGCGGCCTTGTGCTGTGATGTGGGCTGGGAGTTGGGCCCAAGATGGCGGAGCGTGGGAAGAGTGCTCTTGGAGTCCCCCTTCTTTTCCGGCTCGGGCTTGGAGTCGACGGACGTGACACGTGGCGCGTACGAAACGGTTGAACGTTGCCGAGTGCTGGCGTCACAAGCCCCACCATCTTGGACCGCGGAAGTGGACGCATTTCAGCGATCTGAGCCCTGGGAGAGCCGGGAAAGGGCTGAAGATAGTGACCGGAGGCCATTCCAGTGCAGGAGGGCTGGTGCCCAGCTGCAAGGAGAGGTGGAAGCAGGATGGAGTCGGGGTGCGGTGCATGCAAAGAGTCCAGCATCCCTGAGACACGGCAGCCGGCATAGTGGGCGGCTGCCAGAAGAATCTGCTTCGGAGAGAACGGAGGGAGACCAGGTAGCTGCCCGCCGAGCCCAAGGTAAGTTTGAAACATCTCTGACGACGTGGCTGTTTTGTATGAGTGCAGCCACGCCGGCAGAGATGCTGGGAGCCGTGACCGTAATCCCCACTTGAAGACCACCCACCGGGTGGGCAGGACCAGGCTTAAGGGGAAACCTGGCATGGAAGGAACGGATTTTGCGGCCCGCATGTACACCTGAAGCAGAAACCCAAGAATGATCGGCAGGCCCATAACCCTTCCAGTCAACGAAATACTGTAAAGACCCTTGAGAAAACCTGGAGTCAATAATAGAGGAGACTTTGTACTCCTCCTGTCCAGAAACAACCAAACGAGAGGGAGGGACAGAAGGTGGTATACCTGTTACATATAAGATGCCTAAGTAGGGATACATGGAACATATTAGGAATACGCAGAGAGGTGGGGAGAGCCAGAGAATAAGACACAGAATTAATCTTACAAATAATTCAAAAGGCACCAATAAACCTGGGTGCAAACTTCATGCTAGGGACTTTGAGTTTAATATTCTGTGTGGAGAGCCATACCCTGTCACCCACCTGGTAAACAGAGTTGGCACCTAGCCTTCTATCAGCATGCAGTTTGAAATGAGCTGTAGCTGTTTCTAAAGCTGTGTGGACCTTAGTCCAAGTCTCACGAATACATGTGAGATGGTCATCCAGTGCGGGAATAGCAGTGTCAGAAAATACTGCAGGGAGGATAGTAGGATGACGGCCGTAGTTAACAAAAAATGGACTATGTCAAGATCAGTCATGGGTAGCATCATTTCTGGTGAATTTGGCCCACGGTAACAAATCAGACCAGTTCTCCTGAGCGCCATAAATAAAACATCTCAAATATCGTTCCAATGATTGGTTGTTTCGCTCAGCCACACCATTGGTTTGAGGATGGTAAGAAGAAGAAGAAAACAATAATTCAATACCCAACTGTTTAGAAAATGCTCTCAAAATCGTGACACAAATTGGGAAACCCTGTCTGACACAATATTTAGCGGAATACCATGTAATCTGACTATTTTGCGTATAAATATATAAGCCAGCTCTTGCGAAAAGGGTTTTAGAAATTTAGAAATCGGTAGTTCCACAATAAAGTCCATAGACAAATGAGACCATGGAATACTGGGTATAGGAAGCGGTTGTAATAGCCCACAAGGTAGTTTATGGGGAACCTTAGAAACCACACAAATAGTACATGCCTCCACATACTCTCTGATGTTTCTAAGAGAAGGCCACCAAAATGACCTAGAGACAGTGGATGACCAGCTGTCACATAATCGTGAAACACTCTTAGTACCTCCTCTCTTTCCAGTAACGGAATAAATAATCTATCTTGAGGTTTATCACTAGGTGCCTGGGTCTGAGCTGCCATTATAGCACAAAGAAGAGGAGAAGACAAGGAAAGAACCGTAGAGGCAATGATACATTCAGGTGGTATGATGGGAGAGGTTTCTTGTTCTTGTTCCGCCTCTAGGTCAAATTGCCTAGATAGATCGTCCGCCTTAACGTTCTTAGGACCAGGCCTGTGCGTAATGATAACGTTACATCGTGACAATCTAGCTTGTCTAGAAGACAGCCTTTTAGCATTTCCAATGTATGCCAAGATTTTGTGATCAGTTATGATCAGGAGAGGGTCCTTGGAACCTTCTAAAAGATGTCGCCATTCTTTCAGAGCTAGGATAATGGCTAACAATTTCCTGTTACCAATATCATAGTTGCATTCCACTGTCGACAACCTTCTAGAAAAGAACCCACAAGGATGCAAAGGGGTATCCTGACTCTCCCTCTGAGAAAGGACAGCCCCGACCCCTGTCTCAAGAGCATCTACCTCTAGTATGAAGGGTTTGCTAGTGTCAGGGTATACAAATATGTCAGCAAAAGCTAATAATATCTTAAGTAGCTCAAAAGCTTCTTTAGCTTCTTTAGACCATATATTACAGTCAACCCCCTTTCGCGTCATATTGATGGTGGGTGCTGTTACAGTAGAGAAACCTTTGATGAATCTCATATAATAATTCAAATACAAAAAGAAAAGTCCTGCGCTCACTCCCATCACTCCTGGGCGGCTGCAATGACCACAGTACACATCAGCTAATACATATAGTAAAAACCAAAGAAAAAAGTTACCTGCGCTCTCTCCTTAATCCCTATGTATATTTAAACAAATGGAGGTCATTTAGTTACTCCAATGGCCACTGGAGGGAATGCCCGCCTACCAACGTCAAGGCAGACCCCCCTAGATGGGTCCTACTCTGACCCTTTACCTTGCTTCCTTGAGCTTCTGGCAAAAATATCTCTAATGAGACAAAAAGGGGTATTTTTTATATACATCCCTATATACTTGTTAACCCTTAATAGGGAACACATGGGATGGGTGGCAGCATTGTAACCTAGTTGTGTGATACAAAAAGTGAATACAAATACAAAAAGAAAAGTCCTGCGCTCACTCCCATCACTCCTGGGCGGCTGCAATGACTACAGTACACATCAGCCCCAATATATAGCAAAAACCAAAGAAAAATAATAATATAATAATATAATAATTTGCAAACCCAATGAATCTTTGAATGGCTTTTAACCCATTGGGTAATGGCCAGTGTAAAACAGCTTCCAGTTTACGTGGGTCCATCTGAAAACCAGAGGCCGAAATATTATAGCCCAATAACTGAACTTCCGTCTGGTCAAATAGACATTTGTCAAGTTTGCAACATAGTCCGTTTTTTTAGCAAAGTTTGCAACACTTGTTTAACATGCCCATGATGAGTCTGGATATTGGGGGAATAAATAAGTATATCATCCAGATATGCCAATACAAAAGTATAAATGTAGTCTCCAAGAACATCATTAATAAGATCTTGAAATACGGCTGCAGCATTGCATAAGCTGCAGGGCATGACAAGATACAAATTTCTCGTGTTAAATGCAGTTCTCCATTCATGTCCCTCCTTAATTCTTACCAAATTATAAGCACTCATAAGATCGAGTTTGTGTTACAAAAGACTGGGAATCACTATGTTGCTGTTTTAACTCTCCGAGTGATACAGTTTGCCACTGCATAAGTTAAGCAGAAAACCACACGAATGGATTATGCGAACCCTTATGAAGGCTCCATTCGTGGTACGAACGGGGGACCCCCCACAAACTGGCGTGTGCCGCCACTTAACCCCGTCACCCGACAAACTACCGAACGGTCGACCACCCGGCCCCGGAGTGTGGCAGCCATTAAACCACCCAGGTGCCTGCGGTTTGCGGTTAACCACAACGTAATTGGTAGGCCTGGAGGCATCGACGTTCGCACCCAAAGTACCGAAGGGAAAATACCGAACTATCAACCGAACGACGACCCCCTACAGCGGGTCGTGCGGCGCTGGTTAACTTGTGGTTTTTGCGGTTAACCGCAGGTCAAGTACCCTGCTCCCAGGTGGTCCTCATTCCCTTACCGAACGAGCCCACTACCAGCCAGACAGCGGGACTTCGCATGAACTGATACCGAGTTTAGTTCCACGAATTAGACACGAAGTCCCGCTGCTCGCTAAAACCGCAGAAAACATGGCCGCCAACAAAGACTAATAATCCCAAAATGCCGAACGGACTTCATACGGCAGAAACAGTACATTCTGTTCGTGGGATTAGAGCGCCATTCGCATGTTTTATTTACACGAACGTGAGCCTTCAGATGAATGGTAGAATGCGGGGTTTGTCTTTATTAATGTAAAAGTTATGGATTTTTATGCAGTTTTCTGGGACATAATAAAACGTGGTCTTTGGTGCGCTTGGAGATAATTAGATTGTATAACCGTTGGCCTCATTATCTTTAAGCTGGGCGGGTACTAATTCAAATGATACACTGTATTGTGATTGGATATGTGTCTGTACTGTACCTGTATTCCATCAGGTCCACAGGGGGCTGTCCTTGGACCTGAGGAATCACATAAATTGCCATGCTATGTGCCAGTAAAGCCAGTTCGTTTTGACCCTCAACTTGCAGCCTCGACTCATGTTGTAGGGATCCGGGATATTGATGCTTATATCGTGCTTGGGGATATTCTACATTTGCAGTTTACTACCGAAAGACCTCCGTTCGACTCTCTGCAGCGGGAACCAGGACATCCAAGCGATCAACCCTCCTGCTAGACCGGGGGCAATCGTAACAGTTTGGTAAACACCTAAGCGCCCTGGAGTCTGTCAAATAATTCCAAGATAAAGGGAATGGGAAAAGCTGTTTTAATGGTGATCTTGTTCAATGCCCTATAATCAATACATGGCTGTAACTCTCCTCCTTTCTTAATAACAAAAATGAATCCTGCAGGAGAAGAAGATTAACATATGTGGCCTTTTAGTAGAGACTCTTTAATGTATTCTTCCATAACTCTACTTTCCTGTGCTGACAAGGTATATACTCCTACTTTAAGGGGTATAGTGCCGGGTAACAGATCTATGGAGCAATGATAGGATCTATGAGGGGGTAGTCAATCAGTGTGACTTTTATTAAATACTTCTTTAACCTCCCTATAATGCACAGGCATTTCGGTCGACTGAGGTATAGGACTAGGTAGATTAACGATACCCACTCTCTTAGTAATAGGTGACATACAGCTCTCTTTACATTCTTTACCCCATTCCAGTATCTCCCCTTTAGTCAAATCAACATGGGGGTTATGCTTAACAAGCAATGGGAATCCAAGTATAATGGGACAAGAAGGGGAAGCGATTATCTGAAATGTGATGAGTTCTTTGTGTAACACTCCTATCGTGGTAGTGATAGGTAGTGTTTCGTGGGTAATTAAAGGCTGCGAGAGTGGTCTTCCATCAATGGTCTCGACAGCCAGAGGTGATGATCTCTCCTTGATGGGTAGGAGTTGTTTACTGGCAAATTGCCGATAAATAAAGTTTTCTCCAGCGCCTGAGTCAATCAGGGCGTTACACGTAAAACTTATCTTATCAATTTGAACAGTAATACTAAGGAGAAATCTACATTGGGTAGTACCAGGGGACATATACATCACATCTAAGGCCGGTCCCCTGATGGTTCTTAGGTGCGTAAGTTTTCCGGAGTTATGGGACAAGCATTTCTTATGTGTCTTGTCACAGTATAAACAGAGGCCCTGTTTTCTCCTAAACTGTTTCTCTGCCTCTGACAGTCTCATAACCATTAACTGCATAGGTTCAGACTGTACAGAAAGGCCAGGGAGAATGGGATTGGAGAAGCGAGGTGCCAGTGACATATTCATCCACCTGGTTCTATTTCTAGTCCTCTCCCTGTTACGTGATGTATTCATTTAACCTCCCTGGTAGTTCTTTGGCTGAAATTTCGTCAAAGATAGCTTCGGATAAACCTTCTGCAAATGTAGTGATTAATCCGTTATTAGTCTAGTCTACCTCAGAAGCCAGGGTGTGGAATTCTATGACATAATCTGAGACAGACTGGTTCCCTTGTTTAATACACATTCAAGCAGTGTAAGCGTTATTTTCCCTTCCTCATGGTTCAAATGTTAATTTGAATTCCGCAAGGAATTCTTGGTAATTATGGGCAATAGTCCTATCACTCTCCCATAATGGGTTGGCCCAAGCTAAGGCTTTACCTTTCAGTTGGTTCATTAAGTACCCAATTTTAGCTCTCCATGGGGAAGGACCCAGGTGAGGCTTCAAAATCTGATTAAGGAATCCCCGACATTCTTGAGTCTTATCTTCAAAATGTGAGGGTGGAGATAGGAGGTGCCTTATATACTATAGGTGTAGGTACAGTAGGCGGAGGTGTAACTGCCTGAGGAACTTCAGGCTGTAAATGAGTCGTACGTATTAGGAGCTCATTGAAAGCCTGGGCAAATTGATCCATACGGTGATCATTTTCCTCTAGCTTTCTCTTGCAAGCTGCTATGTGCTGACACAAATCTGCAGGATCTATGGAAATATCGTAATGTCAGGATTATAGTTGATCCAGCATGCAGAATAGTATCACACCTAGGACTAAGGATAACGTCTAACCGGACCTTAGAATGGCCAGACTTAAAGTACCGCAGAATAATCAAAATACTTGCCGAGGTCAGGGACACAGAATGAGACACAACGATGAGGAAAGCAGAAGTCAAGGATACCAGAAATCAGGGAAGTCAAAATGAAGCCAAAGTCAAATACGCAATCAGGAACACACTCTCAAATAACTCACGGATAACCAGCTAGTGGAAACCACGACAGGGCAATGGCAAAAAGGTAATTTGGGCCTAAATAACCCTCTTTGTGCTGTAATTGGCTGTCTCTGACCTCTGACCCCAAAGCGTGTCGGCGCCATCTTTTTCAATCAAGTTTCTTATAAAAGCCTGATCCGCAGCGGCAGGCGTTCCAAAGAACGGAATGGAGGGAGACCGGGTAGCTGCCCACCGAGTCCAAGATAAGTATGAAACATCTCTGACGGCGTGGCTGCTTAGTTTGAGTGCAGCCACGCTGGAAGAGATGCCGGGAGCCGTCACAATGGCCAAGCTGCGGGCTGACATGAGTGCCTTCCTGGGTAAGTACAATGGGCGGTGATGCTCGTTGCTGGAAGCAGTATCAATTCAGAGTTGGACCTCTTCATGGATGCCTCAGGGTCTGTAGGGTTTGGGGCCTTTTTTCGGGGTAAGTGGTGTGCAGCAGCTAGGCCTTTGGAATGGCGCGAGTTAGACATTATGCATAACCTAAAATTTTTGGTACTTTTTCCCATATTGGTGGCTCTGGCATTATGTGGAGAGGATCTTCAGGATCAGGTGGTGGTCTTTCACACGGACAATATGAGTGTTGTCCATGTGATTAACCGATCGTCGTCTGCATCTCCTCCAGTTCTGGCTCTCTTGTGACATCTGGTGCTGCTAAGCTTAAGGTTTAATGTGTGGATGAAGGCACGGCATGTCCCAGGGGAGTTGAACGTAGTGGCTAACTCTCTTTCTCGGTTTCAGTGGGATCGTTTTCGGGAATCGGCTCTGCGAGGGTCTTCTCTGCCCTTCCTACTTATGGGACCTAGTTTTGGAGGCTTGATGTCCTTGGTGTCGGACTCGTTGTCTGCCTTTACATGGAAGGCATACAGGTAGGTATGGTCAGTTTGGTTGTCTTTCGTGGATGGGTCGGTGCTGCTGTCGTCTTAGACGGCCCGGTTTGAGGTTACGTTGAAGTATTTAAATAGGTTACTCGAGCAGGGTCACTCTTGCGCAGTGGCAGAAAGAGCTTTGTCTGCTTTTATTCCAGGTTGCGTTCATTTTTTCTGAGCTTTGCGAGTGGGGGAGTTAGTAGTCCCTAATCGCCGTTTGGTTGCTCCGTTATTGTTATCGGATGTACGTTGGTCTGATAGTTTTGTGGACTTAGAAATGCGTAGGTCAAAGACTGATCAGAACGGTAGGTGTATTTGGCTCTGGGTGGGTAATACTGGGGTGAATTTTTCCCTGTACGGTTGTTTCATAGTTTTATGGCGGTTCAGCCGTCGGCAGTCTCGCTATTGGTACACGCAGATGGTTCCCCACTTACGCAGTTTGAGTTCACTTCTGTGCTCAGGAAAGCGTTGGTGTCTTGTGGTAGAGATCCTACCGGTTTCTCCCCTGCAATGCAAGCTAGCGCCTTGGGTTTTGCGGGTTTCGGAGGTGCAGCATCTAGGCAGATAGTCATCCAGGAGATATCAGCTGTACGTCCCGAATCATTTGTTGTAATTTGTTTCAGGGTGTGCTCCCCGCTATATATGGATATTTGCACATTTGTTTATCTATTGGGCAGCTCGATTCGCAGAGTGGCCCTCCTATGGACGGAACATAGGGATTCCAGCCGAGTTAGCGTATTCGGGGATTGTCATTAAAGCAAGTTTACCTGGAGTGCGTTGTCCTTAGCAGGTTCGTGTCAGGGGCTGTCACCATTTTGATCCATGTGGTAATGATTTAGGTAGGGTTAGGACCGTGGATTTAGTGCACTCTGTAAAGCATGGCTTGGTGCAGTGCTTGACATTGTTTTCTGAGTGAACTTTGATATGGTACGAGATTGTTCACCGTCCATGCTGGCAAGCCTTGTCGCATGCCAGGGGTTTGGAACGGAACAGACGCAAATTCAATGTCACTATTTCTAGATTTGTGCGTTGACTTGGTGGTGTATCGGTACGACATGTGGAGCTGGAGGGGGACAATTGCGCTTTAATCGTTGCCCTTATCCAATACTAAGGCGTCATGTCATTATTGGGGGGTAACGGGAATGTAATTTTGGCAGCAGTCAAGGTTTCCCCTGGACTATAAGGAAGGGGAGGCATGATAGAGAGGGATACAATGTTGCAGAGATGGGATGGTATAAGAAGGGGTGTAGAGGGGATGGTACTCACCATTCGCAGAAGGAAAGGCTAGAACAGGTTTTTCCCTCCCTCCCTACCCTGTTATGCAGGTTGGTGTTTTTTCTGTGTTGTTGGTTTGTGTTCTCTTTTTGTCACAGCTGAGGCAGAGTAGAGATGTCGCGAACCGTCCGCGAACGGTTCGCCACGAGCTGTTCGTGGCGAACTTCGGTCAGCTGACACGTCCCGGCCAAGCTCCAGCAGACCCTCCCTCCCAGACCCTCCTACTTCCTGGACAGCATCCATGTTGAAACACCGCCAGAATTATCACCACCTGTCGGCTGTTGGGGTGACTACCCAGAAGACAGATAAAACCGTATATTTCCAGAGTTCGTACACCCTGCCTTCTGCAACCAGCCCTAGCAGGCAGCGACTCCCTAAAGCCTTGGATGTTGAAACATGGATGCTGTCCAGGAAGTAGGAGGGTCTGGGAGGGAGGGTCTGCTGGAGATTGGCCGGGACGTGTCAGCTGACCGGAGTTCGCGGCGAACCGTGGCAGACGGTTCGCGACATCTCTAAGGCAAAGTTCTTGGCCAGCGCAAGTAATTCACAAGACAAGGCTTTAGGGAGTCGCTGCCTGTTAGGGCTGATTGCAGAAGGCAGGGTGTACAAACTCTGGAAATATACGGTTTTCTGTCTTCTGGGTAGTCACCCCAACAGCCGACAGGTGGTGATAATTCTGGCGGTGTTTAAAGTTAAATCAAATAAAGCTCTGGCCGTTGCCCTTATCCAATACTCAGGCATCATGTCATTATTTGGGGTAACGGTATTTGGTCAGCAGTCATGGATTATCCTTGGTCCATGGGGCAGCATCTGTAAATGCACTGTGCTTACGTAATCAAAAGCTAGGGCTCATTTACAAATGACATGTGCAAGTGCAGGGCATCTCAAAAATGTTATCTACAACTTTTAAACCATATTGCATATAGTACAGAAACCCAGTGAGGTAATGTGTTTTTTAATATTTTTGTGACTTGTTATAGTAAGAAAACAACTTGTTTCCTCAACTTAACAAGTTGTTTTCTCGACATGACAAACTTGTTTTTTCTAAAAAAAAAAAAAAAAGTTTTCTCGACATAAAAAAATGTTTTCAGAACAGAACAAGTTGTTTTCTCGACATAAGTTGTTTTGTGAAGAATATTTTTTTTACACTCAAATGTTCACATGTGCCTGCACAATGTTAGGAATATTATCTAGCAGATTTTGCTTTCCCTTTTAATGTGTGTGCTAATTGAAATTTAGTCAGGTACATGTAAGAATTTGAGTGTAAAAAATATTCTTCCTAAAACAACCTGTTATTTTCACAAAACAATGTTATATTGAGAAAACAACTTGTTTTTTTTTCAAGAAAATATCTTATGCTGAGAAAATAAGTTAATGTCGAGAGAACAACTTGTGTCGAGAATATAAGTTTGTTAGGTTGAGAAAACAAGTTTTACTTAAAAAAAAAAAAAAACATTTTTTTTTTACTTCTGACATTTTGAGACTTCCTCAAAGATCTGATACATGAAATATTAGAACAGTTTTGCTGACATTTTATTCTCTGTGTTGAACCGATGTTATACTGATTCAATAAACAATCTTCTTGTTTCATGTCTATAATTTTTTTTTTTTGCACTTTAAAAAAAAAAGATGAAAAAAAATCCCAAACCAATTTTAGGATGACCGTTAATCTCTAATATTACATACAAACATAATTTTGTTTCAGAAAAGGGCAGTTCATCCTTCTTAAATTGTTTACAATTTTGTGAGATTAGTTGTAATGTAATCACCCAGATTAGAGAATGGTTTGGATTTTGGTTGTGACAGATGTTTGCTGAATATAATAGACTACACTCTGTGTAAAGTGTTCTCTATTTTCGTATTCTCCCCAAAGATATCGACTATAAAATAGTGTAGAACGTAATAAAAACAGCTTTATAATGTAGCTGAATTCTTAATAACACAGCGCTATCTATAACCCTTCATCCATTGATAAAGTGCAAGCCTTCATCATTGAAAACATGGGGATATAGTGTAAGACCTCATCCTTAGAGTTTTAGGGGTACAGTGGGGTTTCCATTAATTGTAGTGGACAGTGTGAAATATAATGAGTATCATTCTCAGCCAGTTGCGCACCACACCATCCCTCCTAATTCAGCCCACCACAGAACTTATGCATTGCCAGTATGAATTCCATCTAACCGGGGTGGTGACAGGGCCAGATTAAGAGCCCAGTGGGCCTGGTGCTGACAATTATGACGGGCCTAATTACAGAATCATATCGACCAAAAACAGTAAAACACTCCCAAGCATCATGTATCTGATGGAGATGGTGCTGGAGAGAAAGAAAACCGCAGCTATAAGAAAACACATACCCTAGGCTAATCTCTCACTAATTTATGTTTTCATCTTTCAAGTAAATCCATAACCCCTAACAGCAGTGTCCAGTCAAGCAGGAAGTCAATGGGCATGGTAAAAGGGTGTGCCACTGACACAAATCACGTAACCTGCCAAAAGGGGCGAACATGCCCAAAAAGAGGATATGTCTGCCCAAAGAATTAGAAGACCAGCCTGGTATGAATGCATGTCAGGCTGCCTGCCAATCATGCAGCTGGCCAACTAAGGGCATACTATGCAGACAGTACCCTGAGCTTGGCATAAATGCATCTAATGATGCGCTCGCTCAACGCTTTCTAAGGACTGTCCCCTAGCACTCGCTGGTCCACTTGTCTCCTTACCTTCTTACTAGCAGGCAGAAGCTCCTGGTATATAGCCTGGGACAGAGAAAAGCTGTATGTAGTGAGTGTAGAAGAAAGGGAACATGCCACAGTGTTAGAGAGACCAAAGTCAGCATTACCTTAAAGGATCACTATAGGGTCAGGAACACAAACATGAATTCATGACCCTATAGTGTTAACACCACCATCTAGCCCCCTGGGCCCCTCATGCCTCCATAAATATAGCAAAATCTTACTATATTCAAGCCCGAAGCTGTAACTCTGCATGCTGTTAGACTCATAAAAACAAGCAGTCTGCTGACATCATTAGAAGTGGTGGCCTAATCCAATCACAGTGCTTCCCCATAGGATTAGCTGAGACTGACAAAGAGGCAGATCAGGGGCAGAGCCAGCATGATTCAAACACAGCCCTGGCCAATCAGCATCTCCTCATGAATTGAATCAATGAATCTCTATGAGGAAAGTTCAGTGTCTGCATGCAGAGGGAGGAGACCCTGAATGTTTGGATGCATTTTAGGTAGCCATGACCCAGGAAGGATCTCTAACAGCCATCTAACAGCTGATGGAGCTGCAGCTCCAGGCCCAGGCCCATGGAATAGGCCCATTGATTTATTAAAAAAAAAAAAGATTATTTTTTTTTTTTGTACATTTTTTTTTTCACACACTACTCTTAGGGATTCCACCTGGCTTTTATTTTACAGGCAATATTTGAGGCTGCCTGGCTGGTGCTAATATTACAGTGATACTGGCAATACAAATGCTGGTATTTTTCTCAGTATAAACAAGAGATTACTATGCAATACCAGCACTGACCAGTAGGGGTCACTGTGTGTGGAGACAGGCAGGGATAGGAAGTTCCAGCATATCCCTCCCTGCCTATCTATTCTCACTGATCTGCAGGGGTGCAGCTACAGAGAGTCCAGACAGCAACTCCCACCCTGCAGAGACAGCCTACATCTCAGGGAAGTAAGGGATGGGGGAAAGGCTGCAAGGAGACATGGGGACACTGAGACACTAAGGGACATTGGGAGACATTATGACACAGACACATGGGGACACAGTGTTCCCATGTCTCCCAGTGTCCCCATGTCTCTCAGCCAGTGTCCCTGGTGTCTCAGTGCCCCCTAGTCTCCCAGTGCCCCAGTCTGCCAGTGTCTCACTGTCCCCATGTCTCCTAGTGCCTCCATGTCTCCCAGTGCCTCAAGTGTCTCAATGTCCCCATGTCCCCCAGCCAGTGTCTCTAGTGTCTGTGTCCCTGGTGTCTGTGTCCCCATGTCTTCAAGTGTCCCCTATTTTCCCAGTGTCCCCATGCGTCCCAGCCAGAGTCCCCTAGTTTCCCAGTGTCACTGGTGTCTCCGTGACCCTAGGTCTCCCTGTGTCCCCAGGTCTTCCCGTCTTCCTAGTGACATGGGGACCCTGGGATACATGGGTCCCTGGTGTCTCCGTGACCCTAGGTCTCCCTGTGTCCCCAGGTCTTCCCGTCTTCCTAGTGACATGGGGACCCTGGGATACATGGGGACACAGGGAGACATGGGGCATTGAGACACTGTGATACATAGGATCACTGGGAGACCTGGGGACACGACACTAGGGGACACTGGGAGACATGGGGCCACTGGGAGGAATCCATCTATACAGCAGAATCAAACTAAGTAGTTTTTTTGGTGATTTTACAGCATTTTCTCTTATGTCACTCCTTGTGATTTACATCATGTGATGTCGCCCATACATATTTAATTATGCAAATTAGCAAGGCTGGTATGTTTTTCCAAGAAAGGTGGCAACCCTAACTACTTTTCACATACCCTTACTTAAGTATGGAAACTTAAGAGGGATGTATGGGAACAAAACTTGTGTAGACTGGCTGACAATGAATATAGTTAAAGGGACACTAGAGTCACCAGAACAACTACAGCTTATTGAATTTGTTCTGGTAAGTAGAATCATTACCGTCAGGCTTTTTGCTGTAAACACTGTCTTTTCGGAGAAAATGCAGTCTTTACATTACATCCTAGTGATAACTTCACTGGCCACTTCTTAGATGGCTGTTAGAGATCCTTCCTGGGTCATGGCTGCCTAAAATGCATCCAAACATTCAGTGTCTCCTCCCTCTGCATGCAGACACTGAACTTTCCTCATAGAGATTCATTGATTCAATTCATCTCTATGAGGAGATGCTGATTGGCCAGGGCTGTGTTTGAATCATGCTGGCTCTGCCCCTGATCTGCCTCTTTGTCAGTCTCAGCCAATCCTATGGGGAAGCACTGTGATTGGATTAGGCCACCACTTCTAATGATGTCAGCAGACTGCTTGTTTTTCTGAGTCTAACAGCATGCAGAGTTAAAGCTTCAGGCTTGAATACAGTAAGATTTTGCTATATTTATGGTGGCATGAGGGGCCCAGGGGGGCTAGATGGTGGTGTTAACACTATAGGGTAATGAATTCATATTTGTGTTCCTGACCCTATAGTGATCCTTTAAGGTAATGCTGACTTTGGTCTCTCTAACACTGTGGCATGTTCCCTTTCTTCTACACTCACTACATACAGCTTTTCTCTGTTCCAGACTATATACCAGGAGCTTCTGCCTGCTAGTAAGAAGGTAAGGAGACAAGTGGACCAGCGAGTGCTAGGGGACAGTCCTTAGAAAGCGTTGAGCGAGCGCATCATTAGATGCATTTATGCCAAGCTCAGGGTGCTGTCTGTATAGTATGCCCTTAGTTTGGCAGGCAGCCTGACATGCATTCATACCAGGCTGGCCTAATTCTTTGGGCAGACATATCCTCTTTTTGGGCATGTTCGCCCCTTTTGGCAGGTAGCGTGATTTGTGTCAGTGGCACACCCTTTTACCGTGCCCATTGACTTCCTGCTTGACTGGACACTGCTGTTAGGGGTTATGGATTTACTTGAAAGATGAAAAGATAAATTAGTGAGAGATAAGCCTAGGGTATGTGTTTTCTTATAGCTGCTGTTTTCTTTCTCTCCAGCACCATCTCCATCAGATACATGACGCTTGGGAGTGTTTTACTGTTTTTGGTCGATATGATTCTGTAATTAGGCCCGTCATGATTGTCAGCACCAGGCCCACTGGGCTCTTAATCTGGCCCTGGTGACAAGTGTTGTTACAAACCTACGTCGATACGCATGCACGTTTCTTTACGTATCTTGGAATAGGACATTTTGGGTATAATATACGTATTTGTTGCCTTGTCAATTTTACTACACTGTATTTTTGTAGGAGTACTTATCTGTACTTTTTTTGTTAGAGTTAATAGCTCAGAAACTATTTACGCATTTTCAAGTTTAAATTGAAAAGTGTCATGAGTAAACAACAGCCATTAACTAGTCAATAACTAGCAAATAAGAGATTGCGATCAAGACCCTCGATAATAGCGATAGCATGAAAGAGCTGGGTTAACCAGATTCCTAATGATCTGAGCCAATCACTGCAGTGGTTATGGTGCTTAGAGTATATATAGTGCAACTAGCAGACTTATTGGTAAAAACAAAAACTGTATGCTGTAAATGAAAATAGATTACTGAAGACTGAAATAAATATGATTATAGTTAAGAAAATCTGCTAAACCCAAGCTTTTTAATAGCTGCAGCTTTGGCATATGGTATTAAGGATTCACGCCCATTAAAATAGATTGCAGGCATGGGGTATGTGCACCATAACCATTTCATTAAGCTCAAGTGGTTTTGTTGCTTAGTTACACTTTAAAGCAATTATTTTAGGTTGGGCTAGATTTTATTTAAATTTTTTTGGTGGGATAGGGGGGTTCCATGAACTTTGTTTTTAAAGTGGCCTTTTTCACTAACCTTTTATTGAGTCTCCCTCCAAGTCAACGGCGCTACCATGACCTCTACCTCGAAGGCTCGCTGCCTGGGTGTTCGTTTTGACTCCAACCTCTCCTTCACCCCTCATGTCCAATCAATCGCCAAATCCTGTTGCTTCCATCTCAAAAACATAGTGCGCATCCGCCACTATCTAACCCCGGATGCGGCTAAGGTGCTGGTCCATGCTCTTGTTCTCTCTCGCCTGGACTACTGCAGTGCTCTTCTCAGTGGTCTTACGTGTTCCCAGATTGCACCGTTGCAATCTATAATGCATGCAACAGCAAGGCTCATTTTCCTGTCCGCTCGCACCTCCCACACCTCCCCGCTCTATCAGTCCCTACATTGTCCCCCAGTTAGATATAGAGCTCAATTTAAAATTCTGGTGCTTGCTTACAAGTCCCTACATAATGCTGCTCCAACCTACCTATCCTCCCTAATACACAAGTATGTCCCGTTGAGGCCCCTATGCTCTCTGCCAAAGACCTACTTCCATCCTCTGTCCTTACTCCCACCTCTAACGCCCGACTCCAAGACTTTTCCAGGGCTGCACCCCTTCTGTGGAACTCTCTTCCCTTCTCCGTAAGAGGTTTACCCTGTCTCCATTCATTCAAAAAATCATTGAAAATTCACTACTTCAGGAAAGCATATCAATTAAACTGTTAGCAGGTTTTTATCCTCCACCCCCCATGACTCCTCTCCTGCAACTGTCAAAATTACCTACTAAGCCCTGAATGCTTTTTTAACAACCTACTTCATACCCCTACTTTTACCCTTTGTGTCTCTATACCCCACTCCCTCTAGAATGTAAGCTCATTGAGCAGGGCCCTACACCTCTCTGTTCCTGTACGTCCAATTGTCTAATTACAATTACATGTCTGTTAGTCCACCCATGGTATGGCGCTATGGAATGTGATGGCGCTATATAAATAATAAAATAATAATAATAATAATAATAATAATAATAATTGAGACAATTTTGCAAAAACCTTACACCCAAACTAACCTAGCAAAATGTAGTGGTTATGGTCGTTGGAGTGTGTATTGAAGGGAATGAGCTCTGAAGGCCCATTCATAGGACGTGCACACCTGTTCTAATATATCTTACATATGTTTGGCGTTTGTAAGCCATGATCGTAACTCCAAAACTAACTATTTAAATAACCCTTCTGGATGGGAAATGGTTCTAGAGATAATAAGTCCTTGTTTTATGAGCTACAATAAACAATATAGTCTTTTGCCAAAATACAGAAGTGCGGCTTATGAAGTTCCGACATTATCTGGAAAAAGATTATAATATTTACTTGGCAGTCGTTCACAAGGTGCAGTTACTTACTCATGATAAAAGCTTAAATATGTATTTTTCTAAATATAAACATAGGTTTCAGAAGCCAAGTGGCGGCACCTGTTAACTCTCTCATGCTATAAGGAGAACAAAAGAATTGTTCTGTAATGTAGCTTCTACCTATATCATCATTGATGTTTTATGCAAATAATTCCCATTAGGGTTATACTTCAATCACACAGTAGGCCATTCATGGTATTAGGGAATCATTGGGCTATCCGTTGAAATTGCATTTACATTACAGTAACCCGCTGCACTGATCTGCTATCGGTACATTAACCACTTACTGCCCTGAACCTTGTTTAGGCACAGGTGAAGGACCGGTCCCGCTTAGGGAGAGCAAACAGAATGTGAAATGAAAACACAAGACTGTCCTGAAACGTGGACACCCAATGAAGATATGTCCACCCCTATAATCTGCCTTTCTCAGATCAGGCCTTTTCTGCCCATGGGCAAATAAGACCTTGACTGTTGCTGGAATATATGGAGATTTGAGCATAATTCAAAACTTTAAAACTCAGCATGTTTTCCATTTTCTTTTTTTTGGATTGGTAGTTTGTGCAAATATATATATTTGTTTCAGGTTTAAAGGGACATTATACGGCATTTCAGAATGTTTGTAAACAATAGGCGCCAAGATACTTCCCCGTGGCAGAATGCGAGTGGCTTCCACTGACCTGAAGAGATCAGCGTTTGACTAAAGAAAAATAAAGGGCTAAATCATATGTTCTGGCTGGCTGAGGGTCACAGGAAATACAGTCTATTAAAATCAGAGTGCCTTTACGATGTATAAGTCAAACTGATTAATAGGCAACATGATTTTAAAGGCATTAAACAGTGGTTATTCCAAATCTGATCCCTCCCATACCCTTCCAGCTGTTGCTGGACTACATTTCCCAAAATTTGTTACCAGATTTCCTGTAAACCCATTCACAGAGAACATAAGAGCAGTAGGAGGTATAAACACAGATGGGGGTGGGGCATAATCCCCAAATTGGGACTGTCATTAAGAATCTAGGACTGTTGGAAGGTATGGTACCATCACATAACTAATCCCTAATAAAGGAAAGTGTTAAAATTCTAATGCAAAGTCATCAAATCCCTTGCAATGTACAGGACAAAACCACTTTATATTCATGCCTTCCCTTTCAAATCAGCAAAGTTTTAAACTAAGTGAGCAGTTGATTTAGAGACTGCTTATATAAACATACAGATATTTCAGGACCGTTTAAAAAATGTATTGCAGATGGACGTCTCTAAATAAAATGATCCGTCAGACGTTATATTAGAGGGATTATATAGAGTTATAGCTCAAACAGTCTGAATGCTACAGTTATTAAACATACAATAATCTCACAAAAGTATTCTAAGAAAAATCCCTTATGTCCCCTAACGTATTATGAGTTATGTTGCTAACCTTGTGAATGTCCATTGCAGCTCTTCTCCGTCTGGGAATTGTGGGTCTCCCTTCCAAGCAATTTACTAGTGGTGCCATCGGAGAATGCTTCGGCTTTTGCCACCCGAAAGAACGTCTATTATTGTTGTGACATGGTGAATCGTCGTATAGTCACCAAAACAACTTTAGCTTAATGAAGCAGTTTGGGTGACAAGATCATGCCTCTGCATATTTGCTCACCTTTTTGCAGCGCTGCGTGGGTACGGTTCTCTGAAAAGGCAATGTTTACATTGAAAAGCCTGCAGGAACATGCTATACACACCAGAACAACTACATTAAGCTGTCGTTGCTTTTGTGATTATAGTGTCCCTTTAACTCCTAAATAGTAGAGAGGTGAGCAGTGAGAGTGCAGGGACACGATCTATACATTATTATTATTTTATTATTTATATAGCGTCATCAGATTCCGTAGCGCTGTACAATGGGTAAAACTGCTTCATTAAGCTAAGGTTGTTTTGATGCCTATAGTATTCCTTTAAGACAATACTACATCGTACACAATGTTACACATCATGTGAAACTCACCATGTTCAGTATAATAATCTGCCAATCATTATTTGAACACAGAGGTCAGATAAGTGGCCACCTAGGGTCCAAGCTCAGATAGTTGCCCAGGCTCAGGTAGGAGCCCAGGGGGCCCTTTTTGAACCTGAAGCTTTGGCTCTGTCTGTGGGGAAATGCTCCCTAATTAAGCAGGAAGATTGAAATATCTACTTGGTTGGCTCAGCGCCCCCTCATTTTGTTGTGGGAGCATTTTGCTTTACACTTATATCAGTTGCAGATCACTTTAAATGCTCACTCTCAGTCCCACTGCACTTCTCAATAACTCTGCTGTAGCCAGTGTTCTGAGTCATGGAATGAGTGCTAAGAAGTGCAAGGGAGCTGTTAAAGTGATCCAATATAGGTGTAGACCATAAAGCTGCGTCACTGGACCACCAGGGATAACATCCCCCGAGAGTGCCCTTCACTGGACCACCAGGGATAACATCCCCTGAGAGTGCCCTTCACTGGACCACCAGGGATAAAAACCCCTGAGAGTGCCCTTCACTGGACCACCAAGGATAACATCCCCTGAGAGTGCCCTTTACTGGATCACCAGAGATACCATCCCCTGAGAACGCCCTTCACTGGACCACCAGTGATAACATCCCCTGAGAGTGCCCTTCACTCGACCACCAGATATATCCCCCGAGAGTGCCCTTCACTGGACCACCAAGGATAACATCCGCTGAGAGTGCTCTTCAGTGGACCACCAGTGATAACATCCCCTGAGAGTGCCCTTCACTGGACCACCAGAGATAACATCCCCTGAGGGTGACCTTCACTGGATCACCAGCGATAACATCCCCTGAGAGTGCCCTTCACTGGACCACCAGCGATAACATCCCCTGAGAGTGTCCTTCACTCGACCACCAGAGATATCCCCAGAGAGTGCCCTTCACTGGACCACCAAGGATAACATCCCCTGAGATTGCCCTTCACTCGACCACCAGAGATATACCCCGAGAGTGCCCTTCACTGGACCACCAAGGATAACATCCCCTGAGAGTGCCCTTCATTCAACCACCAGAGATATCCCCCGAGAGTGTCCTTCACTGGACCACCAGCGATAACATCCCCTGAAAGTGCCCTTCACTGGACCACCAAGGATAACATCCCCTGAGAGTGCCCTTCACTGGACCACCAGCGATAAAATCCCCTGAGAGCGCCCTTCACTGGACCACCAGCGATAACATCCCCTGAAAGTGCCCTTCACTGCACAATCAGAGATAACATCCCCTGAGAGTGCCCTTCACTGGACCATCAGAGATAACATCCCCTGAGAGTGCCCTTCACTGGACCACCAGGGATAATATCCCCTGAAAGTGCCCTTCACTGGAACAAAAAAAACATTCACAATCAATCTCTTTCCTTACAACACACACAACACTCAGCCACACTCAGACTCCCATCCACACACAAAATTCACCCATCACACACACAAGATTAAGCCAATACACACAGGCATACTCTGCCTACCTACCACATACAGCTCTCAGCCTTGTCCACACACACAACACTCAGCCACTACACACACAACACTTTGTCTCGCAAACACACATATAACCGGCAGCCAGCACACACTACATTTAGCCACCCCCATTCACAGAACAGAGCCCAGAGCTCTAGGAGGGGGCCCACAATCTGGCATCCTGCCAAGTGCTCTGGGCAATCTTAATCTGGCTCTGCTGAAACATGAACCCCCTCGTTCCTTTTTCCGTTTCATAGAAAAATACATTTCAAATTCTATAGATGAGTTTTCACGTATTTTCAAACACACTATCCATTCAATGCATAAAACAGAATTCTCACTTATTTATTTTATAGTAACACTTTTATCAAAGTCAATGCTTATCTGAAAACTGCTTGGCTTACATAATTTTCAGATTTTTCTGTTTACCTAAGTGGGCGAGTGGAGTTCTGGTCTAGAAATGATGTTTATTCTGTGTTATATCAAGGGGAGTCTGCAAGATGACAGCTGTTTAGCTGTGTGCACACCCCATGCATAATTCAACAAATTGCAGTTTAAAGAGACAGATGTCCAAAAAATAAACACACATACACAGACAAAAAAACAAAACCTTAAAGCGCTAAACCCTTTCATGCCCAGGGAGCTATACATCTTATAGAATCCATGTAATAAAAAAGTATTTTAAAAAAGTAAAAATATTTATATTATCCATTAAGTATAAACTGTACATAATTTTTGGCTACAGAACATTAAACGTCCAGATCACCTTTAGCAGTTGGCATTCACCTTTTTTGCAATCAATTTTTTTTTCTCGCAATTTCTGTGAGCGTCTGGCTGCGTATCGGTGCTTGGAACAGTATCAATGGCCTTAGCAGGTTGGCTTCTGTTAAACTCCATTCATGAAACTCGATTCACATGATTATATCATTCACAGGGCAGAACAATGCTAAACATTTAGCCAGTGCCAAAACTGACAGCGAGATGGAAAGGTAGGACAGGACTGCGGGAAAAGTGGTGAGTTTGAAAATAGGAGCATCCTATGCCAATGTACATTTATAGGGCGAAACTTGGACTGCACACTAATTCCACCTTGCGATAAAACCAAACCCACAAAATACCTTTCATGCCATAAGTCTCACCCCGCAAGGCCCAGTGCGATCTCACTGTTAACCCTGTGTATTCCATCTGGTCTATTATTGTAGCAACATAATTAAAAAGAGATTAGCCTAAAATATAAATGCCAAAATTGGGCCAAAGAAAACCAAAACATTTTAATGAACGCAAATATTTGGGTCAGTTCAGTTGATATGCAAAGGTTAATTTGTTAATCTAAATTGTGGGGAATTTATCAGCAAAATTCACATTTTCCAGTTCGCTACTTTGGTCTTACGTTTAAAATTCACTTTAAATTCCTGACAGTACTCAGTTTAGTCAATAACCCTGACAGCTTCATGTATTAGAGTCCTGATGGCCCTAGTAATGATTAGCAAAAGTTATCAATGTCTAGAATTTATAAAGCCGTCTCTCAAGGTATTCTGATTTTCAGCCTGTCCCAACGCTGCCGAATGGCTCTCCTCTCTTATTTTAGAAAGAGACTGGGATCCGAAAACCATTTAATTTTATTGCCTGACACACTTAATGAATTCAAAGACTAATATAACTTTCCCAGCTATTTAAGACACCAGAGCCATCTCTGGCTGCATAAACAAAAAGTCTCCTCCCCTTGGCATTAGTTTGATTATTTTTAATATTTTAATGAATGGTTAATTAAATGTGATTGTGTAGGTGGAGCATTTGTAAATATTGAAACTGTAGCCGTGGTAACACCACCCTGATTCCCTGAACTCTCGGAGGCTTTAAATATGTGCTCTGTTGTAGGGTAAAACAGTAAATTAATTTTCAAGTACACTATAATTTACTAAATGTTGTTACTGGGAATGAAACCGTTCTTGAGCTAACAAACACAGAAGTCTTTGATGTGGGATTAAGGAATGAGTCTCGGGAAAGGACACAGTTTCCTTAGGAGGTTAACCCATAATTCTTAAACAGTGATGCTCTAGATACCAAGAATGCTTGTTAAACAATCACACAGAAAGTCACACCCTGACTCTTCTTAACTCACACAACTCACCCATGTTAAAGGTATTGTATCATAACAAGAAACAATTTGAGTTATATAGCTTAGTTTGATGCTGTGTTACAATCACTAAATGTGTAAACGTAAAATTAATGACACTGTTATATAACATTCGATATCTATTTCGCGCAAGGTTGGGTGTATGACTTGTCCGTTCTGGAACATGCAGACCAGCGAAGTAACAGCTATATTGTGGTTAAAGGACCACTATAGGCACTCAGACCACTTCAGCTCAATGAAGTGGCCTGGGTGCCAGCTCCCCCTAGTTTTAACCCTGCAGCTGAAAACATAGCCCTCTGGCCGCGCATGCGCATTGGGCTCCACTCGGAAGCTGACGTCGATGGAGGAGGAGAGGTCACCAGTGCCAAGGGAGCCCGGCACTGGATTAAGGTAAGCAAAGAAATGGTTACTTAAACAGTGACTGGGGACATATTTGTATTCTAACGCTATAGTGTTCCTTTAAAGACACTCACGGTGCTCTCTATTCCTGCTGTTGAAGGTCGTTTGGATTCTCATTTAATAATGCAGATTTGTAATTTCACAGTGGGTGCAGAGACGTTTGTAATATGGGTACCAGCGAGAGCCACAGTTTTTGTCAAAATACTCCAGAATTTTTTTTGAAGGAAAACCGGGGGAAAATGGCAGTAGACTTATTTCACCATAAACACTAAACTAAGCTGTAGTGATTATGGTGTTTAGAGTGAGATTAAAGGGACACTGTAGGCACTGAAATCTCTTCATCTCATTGAAGTGGTGTTAGTGTCTGGAGTCTCCTGGCGCTTTCCTTCCATTAACTGTTTTAACGTTTTTAATGTTTTAATGCTAAAAGAGAGAGTCACCAGCAGACCATCCACATGTGCTCTTTTGGCCAATGAGGAAGCATTACACTGAACAGCAATGGGCAGCTGTGATTGGCTGAGAGTGTCAGCTGACTGCTTTTAGCCTATCACAGCCCACATTGCTGGTATGCTATGGCGATCTCCCGTCATCATTGTTGGGAGGTTTGTATCACTACTTTTAGTGAGTAG